GGCTTAAGACTCAACAGAAAATGCAATCAATGACAACTGAAGTAAACTTCAGAGTAAGGGATGAGATCCTTCTTTTAAATAGTATTTTGTTTCAGAAGCCAATACTAAGTGCATAAACAAAGTCCTTGCAAATATGTATGAACACAATTCCTCAAAGACTTAATCCACACAGTTCAAATGGAGTGACAAGTGCAAATAAAGAGAACCAGCAGGACTGACTATGCCACTAGGTTGCAACCACAAGCAAGCAAAAAGAATTAGACAAGAAAAATTTGTTAAGCACTGAAGGATTTGAGGGAAGGTTTCCACACTTTTCCTAATCCTTTCAACACAACACTTGTGCTACTAACTTATGCTCTAATTGCATTCACAGTACTAAGATTTATTCTAGCCTGCATCCACTAAGAAATTAGTGCTTTGCCACTGACAACAGTAAATACAGGGTCAGACCCTAAACAGTTAATACAGAGTAGTGTATAGTTTTGATCAAGCAGTCTAAAGGCAAACACCGCAAATGTTGCAAGACCAAACTTTATTTTGGAATGTAACCTTTTCATGTTTATTCAACCTTTCACATCACAAAGCTAAACAAAGCTTTATTAGAATTTATCTTTCATAACCAAACTCAATTCTAAATATAACCTTAAGTCATGCTGAAACATCAGATTTTCAATCACTTGCCTGTCAATGGAAGCACACCCCTTCAAAAGAAACCAACGCTTTTACAGAAGTCTCTTTTGTAGATATGCCTAGTTTCGATTTACAAAATGTTTTGCAGTAGCTCATTACATATTTCAGTCCAACAATTACAACTCTTTCAAGACAGCATATATACTGAAGTGATCCTTTGTTTCCTATATAAAAGCTACTGTAGTCATCAACAGCTGCAAAGACAGAAGATGACACAAGCAGGAACAGACTGGTAAACTCTGTCCTGCAGTTATAGCACTGTATGTTTAATCTTAGAAAAGTTTTTGTTCATTGTAGCTTAATGTCATTCAGCATTTTCCATTAAATAGTATCTCTGTCAGCTAGCTCTCAGAAAAGAACACTTGGATATCAATCTTGCCATTTACAGGGTGAGAAAATAGACACAGATGCCACATTTCAGAGGGCTATAATAAAATCAGCTGCTTTGCTGTCTCAAAGTCTGGAAACAAGAAGTCTCATCACAAATATAAGATAAAAAAACAGCTCCAAACTCTCCTGGTTTTAGAAAAACAATCCTACTTCTGAATTTTGAATTTAGTATTTTAAAAGCCATTTTAGTAGTAAGACAGGTCACATTTCCTCTATTTTAAGAGAAACTTCACAAATATGGAAGCCACAGTTTCTATAATTAGTTGCTTCTAAGTGGCAATACTTCAGGAATGGTAAATATGCAGTCCAACTGGAAACACCAGCAGCAGGCCATTTAACAAAACACAAAATTTAATCCTCCTTATTTAGATTTAACACAGTAATTTCAATGCAACACTTCACGTAAATACTCTATGAAGTTAGTCTTTCCCTTTCCCCTCAGCTCATAAGGGAACCATGCATAATTATCTTCCCTTTCACAGAAGAAAGTACCACGCTCCGAATGTAACAAAGCTAAGTATAAACATTTTTATGTATATGTAGAAATTGGCAAGTGACACAATATGACAAGTTGCCATGTTTAAAACAAAACAAGAATATTCTAGGGGAAAAAAAAGGGGGCTGGTGGTGGCAAAATTTAATGTTTACAGTTACAAAGCTCATCTAAAGATTTAAAAAAGGCTACCAAGAGGATCCTCTTCACTTTAGTTTACAGCATTCAACAGTACATACAAACTTCAAAACTCACACTACCAATGTGAAGTACTAATATCTGAACGCTTTGTAACTTATGTACTAAAAGTATTAATAGAAACCATTCATGTAAATCAGCTTCCTCATCTCCACAGACTACTCAAGGCAAGCAAATTTGATCAAAAAGATGTTCATATATCATATCAATAACATTCAAATTTACTGGAGAAGATGTTCTCTAAAAACGTGAAACTCACAAACTCTAAGTTCTGCCTTTTCAAGGTTCAAGAGAAAAAAAAACCACACAAAATGTACAGCACAGGAAAGCTGACCTTTTCCAGTTTGCCTCAGTTGAAAATTCTGCTGTGGGTAAGAAAAACTGAAGGAAATTGCAGGGGATAAATAGCACAAAATATAGAACTAGTGCTACTTCTACGGTAAGCATATTATCAAGCCAACTGTCTAATGGTCAAGAATAGTAGAGGCAAGCAGAACAGGCTGTCTTTAAGCAATACTAATACAAAACACAGGTCACTGATTTTGCAACTTCACCTGATTTCTCAACTGCACTAATAGAACTAAATGTCTTAATCATAGGGCAAGACACGCGTGAGAAAAATCAGAGCACAGCAGTGTCTTTGAGAGGGGAAGGTGCAAGTTGTTTCTCCTTAGCTTTCTATCACAATCGGCTTCAATGGAAAGAGTGACAGAGGTCATGTGGCAAGTTCTGTCTCTTGTATGAATATAACCTACACTTAACTGCTGAAACCCATGCACTTTTTAATGGGAACAGTTACAGTTCTGGTGTAGACAAAAGTAAGCTTCTACACCCACCACCAAAAATCACAACACATCCTATCATAAAATAATTGTTTTTAAACAACATGACTATGTTTTCTTCTGTGTCAGCTGTCAAAATATCAGTGAGCATATAAGAATAGGCAAAGTCATACCAGGATTTAGGTAAGAGACACCTGAATGGTTATCTAGAATCTTTGTCGTTTAGTTGTCCAAACGTTCTTGGTGCGTGGCATCTCACATGGATTTACTGAGCCAACACCACAAAACATTCTTCAAATACTTCCCCCCCCCCCCCAAGCATTTGCTATCTCCCTTTACTCTTGAAATACTATAATGTAGGACAATATTCCTACTTCATATTGTAATTCCACAGTAGTGATTTCTATCAGCATGAACAGTTACCATATTGCAGCTGAAAGAATATTCAGGGGGAAAGGAGAGAAGAGTGTAAGCACTGTTAACATACGTCTGCAAGCTTTAATATTCATATATCAGATGCCATGCAATACATGTGCAGAAAGGCGCCCATATCAAAGAAAAGATAAACCAGCACCCAAAACTGATGCAACCTTATCAAATACACGGGAAAAGGAGACTACATTCAATTGTTACAGCATTAAAGGTTCAAACCTAAAGCATTTAAGGATCTGCTAATCAAAATGCTACTGCACAAGGAGGAGACACAAGCAATAAGATAGTTGAATCACTTTAGAAACTCATCAGGTGTCAATTACTTGTCTGCCTAGAAGCCTTACTAGTGAATAAGGAACCGACAGGACTAGATATGCTGCAAACAGAATAAATAAGACGGTTCTTCCTTTAAAGAGCTTAAACACACCTCAAAGTTGAAACACTGGACTTAGTTAAGGTAATCAGAGTCAATATTTTACACTATGAATAACACAACGATTCTCAGTTTTCATGAGCTATTTCCAACAAACAAAAAGAGAATGGTTTGATAGGGGCATGTGCGTGAACCTCCAGTAATGAAGAACTCAAGCAACAAGGAATAAATATTTTACAAGTGTACTGCAGTACTAATTACAGATGAATTGAGGGGAGGAAAGGGAGCACAGGTAAAACCCTAAACCCAAGATTTTAAAGCAAAAAGGTCAGACTACTGTTAATCTTACAGAATAAGATTAGTTCTATATGAAGGTAAATAAGAAAGCATGAAAAGAAGTGAATTTAAAGTAATTCCCACACCAGAAGGTTTAGTAAGAAAGACACAGCAGGAGCCATACTGTAATATCTTCACAGAGTGCATTCTTACTCAGTATGTACTTTGCTACAGGAGCTTGTGTTATTTTATTTATTAACCCAACTATTAGAATCCCTGGAGATGCCAAACCTGAAAATGACAAAAAAAGCATAGTAATTTGTGAATTTTCAACACATTCTGTGGAAACAAAAGCTCAGAAGTAAGATCAGGTTACTATGGATGGTAGCATTCATTCTACATACACCTTTCAGAAATACCTCCTGATGATGAAACATTTTATTGCATATAAGTAATAAATCCTACAAACTCTTAAGTCCCAGTTTAAGCATCTTCCTAACTACAGTATGGCAAGTCTTAAGAATAACTCAAACAGATTACCTTGACAAAGCTAAGCTAAACATCGAGGGGGAAAAAATAGCAACTTGCAGGATTAATGAGTTATATCCAACTCCTTCCTTCTCTTCTAACCAGCTGTGACCAACAGCTACGTCCCAACAGAGAATCTCAACCTGAACCTGGTATTGCAGTATCTCAGCAAGAGTGACACATCTCGTGTTGTAAAGTTCTCAAAAAGCCCGTAAAAGTCTCTCCTAGTGACCGGACAAGTTTAAATCTAATTTCACTAAATGCAATTATTGCCTAAGCTTGAAACAAAGCCTGCAGAAACAAGACAGGTACAGGCCAAGTCAGACCTACGCACCCCTTCGCGAGCACCGACAGGAGCCGCACGCTCCACAACCCACCCCGGCAGCCCCTGCCCGGCCGGACACCTCTCGCGGGCGGGCAGCGCCCAGGCCGGGCGCTAGCGACCGACACCGCCCGCCGCGCCACCGACCCAGCAATACGCGCTAAACTCCGGTGCGCAGCCTGTAAGCCGCCCCGTCTACAGCCCGCAGAGGGGCCCTTCTTCGGCGGGGAGGTATGCCAGCCCCCACCCCGGCACGGTAGCCCCCGTCGCACCCCTCGCACCAACGCCGGCCCCAGCAGGCCGCGGGCCGCACCCTGCCCCTCCGCTCAGCCGGCGTCCGCCGGGCCGGGCCTGACAGCCGCGGGTCTGACAGAGCCGAGCCGCCGCCCCAGCGCTCCCCTCCGTCCCCCGCCCGGCCGCTCAGCCCCCCGCCCTCACCGCGGCGCCGGGGGCGTAGCTTGCCCCCTCCCGCCACAGCTGTTATGCTCTACTCAGCGCCGAACCCGCCCCTCACACCTTGTCCGCTTTGTCCATGGCTCCAGCTGGGCTGGGCGGCGGCTCTAATAAGGACGGCGGAGAACCCGAGACGCCCCCGCCATGGCGCCCGCTGCCCCCGCTGCGCTCCCGCACACACCCAGCGCGGCGCTGGTCCCGCTCGCAGCTATCACGGAAACCGAGCCCGGCGACGCCACAGCTGGGGGCGGAGCGGGGGACGGTGGGGCGGGAGCCGCAGGGACGGAGGCCGGGCGGGCCCAAGCGGCGCGGAACGCCTTCACCACAGCGCTGGCGGGGGGCTGTGCTGGGTGCCCCCTCCCCGGCGCGTTCCGGCCCTCGAGAACAAGCGAGGCGCTGGCTTAAACGTTAGAGAGAGCTGCGGGGGTGAAGGGGGGCCCGGAGCTGTCCCCTCCGTCCGAGGCGCCGCAGTGTGCGGCAGGTGCATCGCAGGGCCCTGCGCTCAGGGCCGGTGTCAGGGGAGCCTCGGGCCGGCGGCGTCCTGGAAATTATCTGGAACATCGAAGGAAAGTGGAAAAACCGTGGTTCGTTCAGAGGCAGAAACCTAAAATTGAGTCAGAAGCGCCTCGGGGGCAGGCGGGGCTGTGAGCGGGGCCCGGTGCGGGCCGCCACCAGGACGGGAGGGACGTTGTAAGACACGGGCTCCAGCACAGCTTGTTTCTCTTTCATTGCTGTTTTGGTTCTAACTTGTGTTTAGTTACTGTAATGCCAGCACAGTCCATGAAACCGTGTTCGCCACTGAGGCTGGGGAGTACAGACAGTGCTAACAGTCCTCCCATACACACATCCAATGTGTTAGTTCTTACCTTTCATTAAACTAGTATGTCCACTGCCTTGGGCTTAATGGACCTCATGCTATATGAACATTACTAAATCATGGCAAAGAGACAAAAAAAGTGGAACTAGACTACCCTTGTAAAAGCCATATGCAAAGGACATTCTGGAGCAGACTCTTGAACGCTTCCAGGTGAAGTGTGTGTATAAAATACGTAAATGCAAGAAGCAAGCTTCTGCTTGATGGAGGTTCTTGTGAAGAATACATGGAAAAGGACAAAGCGAACCTGTACCTGAATTTGATGGCAAACATCTCTACAGAGCAATTTTGCTAGAGCTTCCTAGATTTAACCTGTATAATTATTTAATCTTTCCCTAGTTATGTTCATTATGCTGTGTAACAGTTTGTGTTTTCTAACAAAATTATTTCTTGGATTAATCATTGTAATCCTTAGTATTTTCTTAATAAGTTCTTAATATTTTCTTAGTAAGTTCTTAAGAGTTGATCTTCACCATTATAACTTCATATGTAACATATGGTATTATGAAGATGGCTATTACATTGCACAGCAAGTTCCCATCTTGCGAGGTGAGACAATCAGTGCCTCCTCTGCTATACTGTCCACAGGAGGCGGATCACCATCCAAGCGTAACTTTTGCCTTGATGTCTACAACACTACTTACATTCTGTGCCTTAAGCTTTCATGGACTTGCAGCCAACAAAATCATAGGTCCCCTGGATCACAGGGGAAAAGGAGTGGGTAAAGTTGTAATCCCAAATGATAGGATTTCTAGTAACTTCAGTGAGTACAATGTTCTACTACAAGTGGAGAGAACAGACTGGCTGCTGCTGCACCTTAATTAATAGGGAAACCTCATCTTAATGGGAGAAGCTGCAGCAGTTGTACACTTGATATGCACTTCTGTATCCCAGCACTTGACAAGATTAAATAGTAAGCAGAACTAACACAAGTGTTCATAACCCTAGGAAGCCATTTCAAGGTAGTAACGCAGATTAATTTGAGGTTATGATGTTATGTTCCCAGGGGCTTTTACACAATGACATTTGTTATTTCAACACAAGTCACAAAAATAAAACTGAGGATTAAGCTGGTGCTATCAAGAACTTTCAGCTGATGCAATGGAACAGCATTTCATCAGTAACTGATGAACTTAAATAGGAGATGTAAATCTACAGATATATCATAATGAAACATAAAATAAGCCACCTAAACTTACTCTTTGTAAATCAAACAACAAATCTCTACTGAGTGAAATGTATTTTATTCCCAATAGTTGAATGTGTATTGTTTTTTTGTGCAAAATAGGTTGACTGCTTTAAAACCTAGTCAATTTTCCTCTCCCAAGTAATGTGGGAGAACTTGCCTGACTGGACAGAAAACAGTGAAAAAATCCCACTGAAACAACTAGAACAATGTATTCTTGTATTAGCACACCAGCATTTTAGTGTGGAATGCAGCTTAATTTGTCCAAATTGGTGCTGACCACAGAATATATATTATGACATTTGCTTAAGATAGCTGCTGTATTTTTAAAAAATAATGACTCATTATGGCAAGGCTTTTCATTATTAAATCCTTCTTTTGTTCCCAAGATACATACCAACAGAAAGGTCACACTTGGAAGGGCTGTTATGCATACTTAACCAACAATAACAAGAGCTTCTAAGATCCAAATCGGGCAGTGATTAAATAGACATCAGACCCACATAAATCTACAATATATGTAATACAGAAAGTCATGCTGGGTGACCTGAGTGGCCACTTGGGTGAAAAGAACTCAAGTCTCCCATAAAATTTAACTCTGTGTTATCAGTGTAAAGCATACCAAAGCACTCGGAACCAGTTATGTTAGATCCTCTGTCCACAGCTATCACAACTATGTCAGAGTATCTGGTTACATCGCCCTTGATCCAGTCTTGTGTAAGAGAACTCAACAATGTTACAGTCCTTAAGGAAGCCATAAAAAAAGTTTTAAAACCCTGTTCAATTTAAACACACTGGTAATTGCACTAGCTGGTTTTGAATATTCAGTCCTAAGGGTCCAGTTCTCAAATCTGGCAGTTTGTAACAATTACTGCTACTTTTTTATTGCAACATGGAGTAAATAAGTGAATAGTCTGGAAGCAAAAATTGTGCTCCAACCTAGCAGGCGCTGACTGCAATTCTGCTAGTAAGTTGTTTCTTGTTACATCTGCTGGATAGTGGAGATACCCTTCCCAAATACAATGGAGGACACCGACCAAATGAAAAATTAAATCTAGGTCAACACAAAGATTAAGAAATGGAGTCTAAACCAAAATTTCTCAGCAGTATGAAAAGACACTTGGAAACGACTGTATTCAGAATTACAATCACAGGATTACAGGGAAATCTAACAGCATATGCATGGTTACTCACACTCTATTTACACTGGCTCTATTTATGTCTACTAGGTATAAAGTCCTGCAAAACACACATGGATGTAATTGAGCATGTCTCACTGAAATCAAGGCAGCTTCTTATACTGAAAGCTGAACATACGTATAAACTTAATCTCACTGGCATAGAAGTATGAAATAAGGGTTGCTCAGTAACACCCCCTCCACCCCAAGGTCTAAGCAGGCTGAGACTGAGCTCCACAAATGAGCACTGCAACAGCACTGGCAGGTTTGGAGGTGCCACAGAGAGCAAGTGGAAGAGGCAGCAAGAATGAAGCTAACTCCAAAATGACAGTTATACTGGACTGGGACTAAAATCTTCAGCCTAATTATAGAAAAACACCAGTACAGAAAGCCAAGTATATCTTAGCAAATAACATCTGTATCTGTGATGAAGTATGTAGCATCCTGCAGAGGCAGCTAAGGGCAGATGCCACAGAGAACATAACCAAAGTGGGAAGGTAAGCTAGGAACCAGTACATGAAGCCGAGAATCACGACTGACAGCAACATGAGACTACTACCTGGCAGCAGCCAGAGTGAGCCCAGCACTCCCACTGAGAGCAGCTGCAAAGAGGCAGTGGAGTCAACCAGGACAGATCCTGCCTTGCAACTCCTTGTAATACTGCCAGAAAGAGATTAACCTTTACTCTTGCTGTAATGCTTACAGTCATTGCATCTGAAATTTAGTGCTAAATATGCAGTTATAACACAGATGCAGTTTGCAATCTACCTTTCCACAGCTTTAGAAGCATTTATGGCAGCAATAATCCTTTCTGTCAATATCTTAATTAACACTTTCTGACTAGCTATAATGTAGTATTGTACCTAGTTCTCTAATCTGGTCCTAAAATATATTTTTAGCACTTTGAAAATAATAAAGTAACAGCTAAATTTTTTAAAGTCTGTATTAACATCTCTATATGGAAATTTAGTTCAAATAACTGCTGTATTTTCGAGAAAGGGCTACTGTCCAGAATGATGTCATTTTACTCTTAATCCATATTTATGCAGTTGCTGCTCAAGTAAATTAATTCACCACCTCTCAAAAAAAGTGAAAATACAATCTTCAAATACAGACACGTTTTACAGCTGACAATTTCTCAGTAATTACAAAAATCACAGTGTTTATTTACAGACTACAATTCAAATACCTTCATTATATTATTCTGCCAGGTGCATTTCAGCTGTGTTGTCTTTATTCTGTTTTCTTTTTGCTTAATATATTTTTAAGCCTACTTAAAATGAAAATTAAATCCTCACTACACCACAGTTTCAGATCCAATCCATTAGAGAAGGACTTTGAGATGAGTAAAAAATACATTCTTCCAAAGTATGTTTGATAAATACTACTACTAAAACAAATCTAAAATGCATGCAGACACAGCACAGACATCCTCCCAGATTTCATTTGCAATAATGTTCAGTTTTAATGCATAAGCTGCCAGAAACTTAAAAGAGGGGTCTGCATATACACAGCTTAATTACTATTGTAATCTTATGTAAGATTACAACAGCCATTAAAATACTCATTTGCAAACACTGTTGCTGGTACTCGCTAACGCGCCAGTTTGTCTTGTACCCATAGCAATAAAAGGTGTACAAAATCATCAAGAAGTTGTGAAAAGCATGGCTCTGACAACTAATGACAATTGCAGAAATTTAATGTCTGGAACCGAGACTGGAGAATGCAGTGAGGCTGGTCAGCACTCCCGCAGTGCAATAATGTTATTTGAAAAACAAATTCAGTCATCCTCTTCCTTCAACTGCTTGTTCACTTTTCCTGAGGTGGTAGAAATGACAACAGAGCCACATCTACCATGGACTAAGCGGGCTAAAGCAACTATTAGCACTTTCTGCTGCAGTTGTATGACAACACAGCTCCTCTGTATTTCCCTGCAGAGAACTCTCATCTTCCAGGTTAAGAATCCTGAGAACACAGAAAAGGGGTAGAATCCCTTAGGGATTATATAATCTTCATTATTTGCCTAGAACACAGATGCTAAGGCACTATATGCATGAGTAAGAACTAAAGTATGCCAAAACACACAACAACTTATTAGAGGTAGACTGGCACTTTTTCAGTCTAAAAACACAGTGTTAGCCCTCACTATTGAAATTAATACCTTCACTAGTTGGACTAGTCCTACTACAATTAATCCTCCACAACAAAAAGATAGAACAAGGGAGCTAGATGGATAGGACAGGATTTACTGCAGTATTTCTATTTCCTTCTTGAAAAACCCAACATGCCTCCTCAACAGACTTAGCTGGGATGGGAAAGGTTATATGAGTTACAACAGAGAGTCTAGACTCTTTTTTTAGGTGATACTAAGTTTATGCACAGTTCTTTTTTTCCCTCCTTTAGAAGAAAATAATTGTTCTTTCCCACAGCAAGGGTGGCAGGAAATGGCAGAGAAAGGAAATGTGCTGAAATAGCTGTCAAGGTCTCCATGGGAAGGAGAACCTTGAAATAGCTGTCACAGTCCCTTGTCCCTAAGGGAGGAAGAACCTTGCAAGATTTGCTATCCAAATTAAAGTCTACCTGTAGGAAGGGTCCCAGTTAATGTGCAGTATTATTAAGTTCAGTTTCACAGCACCAGATCTTGGTGGAATTTTCAAAGTAAAAACTGTGCTGCACATTACAGCACTGGAAGTAAATACTGTCTACAGATTTTATGAAGAAAAACCTTTGCCTTTGCATAAAAACTAACTTCAATTTATATTTATATTTTACTATTAAGTGGATAAATTACAAACACCTATTGGTAAAAATATGCACCAGTGAAGGAGAAATGGCTCACCCAAGATTAAGCATCATGCTACTCATGCAACACATTTAAGTTCTACTGTGTAAACTCTAGGGAAAAAAAGTCACTTGCTTTGACAACTGCAGAGCAAAATAATTTTCTAAGGGACATAATTACCCTTCAGATGAAAGTTAATTTTATCCTATTTAATTATACACTGTTACCAATTTAAATCCTGTCCTAGAACATTGAGTTTTCCATGCTGTCTTGCATGTATGTGATTGCCATGTGTCATTTATTAGGCTTTTCCATTTTTTTTGGGGTAGTGTTAATGGCTCTGCACCCATATTTTTTTCCTTCTACTGTACCAGTGACTGTGTGTGGCACTGCACTGTGCACCATTACACCATACCCTCAGCTTTAAAACGGAGTAGTTGCAGTTATGGAAGAAGTGACCCTAAAAAATTGCTTCTACATTTCTGAGACCTGCAGGAGAATTTCTGCCAGCTCCAGAAAACCTGCTACAGGAAGGTAAGTGTTGCTGGGGTCAACACTGCAGCTCTATATTTTAAATGGATCTGATGACCCCAAAAACCTTCGGACATGAAAGGCTTGTGCCTACTATGTGACAGGACTTCAGGACTTGAATAGCAGCTCTGAAGGGACTACATTACAATTAAGCATTTGACACAGATGTGTCTCCACACTATACACAGTGTCATTTTATATACACTGAATTTGGTCAAAACCACCACAGATTAGGGAAAAAGATAACAATCAGAGTCTGCATTTCTATTCCCAGGGTATTGCTTGGCAAACCTGTATTCTTGAAGTACTGAAATAAATACCAAGCATATTCCTGAGAAACACCAAATACCCACCAACATCATCTAGACAGGACTCATAATGGTTGGGTGTCTTGCAAGATACCTACCAGCTTTTAAACTCTTAAATATTTATGTTTAACTACTTCCAGGAGGGAAGGGGAGTGGAGAAAAAAAAAAATAACAATCAACAGCACACATACCAAGGTTTAGGCTTAAAAATCTCCATATTGTCCTTTGTAAGTGGGGTGAAGATGAAGTAATACCTATTTTCTTTTAAAAATAACAAAAGTAAAAAGTATAGCGAAAGCACATCAAGAAACAAACTGTACAATTTCTGAACTGCACTGTTTATTTTGCTGCTTGAAACCTAAGTGACAGTATGCCACTATAATTATGGGGTTTCTTCTAAACCTTTACTACACTGCAGGTACAGAAATATACGGACACATTTTTTGAGAATTGACATTTTGCAAAATGCAGCAAACATTTCAATTTATACATGAGAAAAGGAAGTGTTCCAAAGGGTATGCATTTCAAGTTATTGCAGGTTATTTCTGTGAGAGAATTTCTGTAGGTAAAACATGTTTAAAATTAACCAACGGTAATGTGTCAGTGTATTTAAAATCATGACAAAAATCTTCTCTCTGGTCATTAATTGCCCCTTTGACAAATTACTATGATGTTGTATGTTTAGGGCAAGATGTCAATACAGCATAAATCCCGTGGCATTTTGGTTTTCTTCTGGAGATTAAAGCTGTTTTTTTCTTGGGATAAATGCAGCAGCAAAACACAAACCAGCTGATCAAAAAAGCACTTCTGCCATAACTCCAATAATTTCAGGGCACACCAACCGACAGTAGTTTTGCCATTCCCAGTTCTTTTAAGGTTTACATCACTGCACTGTTGCCTTAAGTACGTTTGTGAAAGCTTGTTTTCTGTTAAGCCAGCTTGCTGACTACAGCCTGGTTGAGAGAATTTAGTTGGTTGGTCCATTTATCTAACGCAGTATACCGTGCACCACCTCTCTTCTGATGATCCAGTTCTAGGAGCTGGTTGACTTGATCAATTCGGCCATGTATAGTGCTGGAAGTAAGTAAGTAAATAAAATAAATCTCTAATGCACATGGAAATAGGAGCTAGCAATAAATCAGAAGTAAAATAAGAGGTCATCTTATGCAAGACAGACATAAAAGTCCATTTCAAAATCCAACACTTCTATAATATATTGACTTGGGTAGTCCTGCCTGTTTAGTTGTCATCATGACTGGAAATCAAATTAACTAATTCATTGGGCAATGCATATTTCATCTGCCAAGCTACAACCCACATAAGAGTCTGAAGCAATACAAGGTAAACAGTCCTTGAAAGTCAAGAAATCGTGGAAAATAGTGATTTATGTAAAAAGAAATTAAACCCACATATGGATTATATTTTCCTAGTAGCTATAACAAGTTATCCTCCAAAAAAAGACTTTATAAATTGTAATGAAGCTTTTAAAGTCAAACAGAGCAGACTGCTAATCTGTCAACCTGAAAACATACTCAAACATACATGGGTATAAGCAGCAATTACTAAGAATAATATTTTTTGTAATTTCATAATATTCAAGTAAACGATTATGTAAATCAAAATTAAAGTATGGACACACTGCTCAATCTCTCCGTTTAATTTTCTTGGCTCATGCCTTACAAATATGCTTTACTGGTTATAAGCCAAGCAAATCCAAAGTCAGCATCATTATCTTTTGGTTCTAGAATCAACTACTATTGTCATGACGACACAAAAATACTGTTTTGTTGCTTAGCATATGCTTTGATTATTTTAAAGTAATCAAATATCAGTGATCAAGAATAAAGTACATACTTATCCAATATGCACTGCACAAGCAAGCTTTCCACATCAGCTACATCTATGTTTAACTCCTAAAAGAAAAAGAAAACTCATTATGCTGCTACTTAGTTTTGCAACATTAAATCCTTCCAGTCTTTATTTTTATATACAGGATTTAATTTGTTTGTGTTCGAAAGAGTCAATTAAGTAATAAACTATTAAGCAAAGGAACTCCACCCAAAATATACAAAGCCAATGACCAAGAAGAGATCAGTAACTTCTCAGAAAAGGCTGAAAAGCCTAAAGCAAAACTCTTGCAAGCTCCAGAAATGAGTTCCTTTGCTGACTTACTGGAAAACAAAGAAACAAAAAACCACCACCATCACCACACCACCTCCCCTCCAAACCTCACACACACACAAGAAATAAAAACCCCAAAACCAAAATCCCTCCACCAAAACCCAGGAAATAAAAAGAAATGATTTTCAGAAAATAACTGGTTTGCACTCAAAACCATTTAAGGGGCTACTTGCATCTTCTAGCTCAGGCAGGTTCTACAAATCGTAGGTTATCTTAAAAAAAGGCATACAGAGTTCTAAAGAGAATTTAAGCATAAAACCCAGGCATCTCTAATACTTCATGACATATTGTGGAATGCTGTGAATTTTTGCAAGAAAAATCACGGACTCACAGGAGATGGAAATAGTCATCTATTGTCACTGGGTTTTGATTTTGTTCTTTCCAGATTAGGGAATGAAATCAGAGATTCTAGTATAATAGTTGGTTTGTTCTATTACCACAGTTCCGTAATTCATACAACACAGACATCTGATGATATCTTTTGAACAAAAGGAATTAAAATTTGGATTTTTATGTTCACAACATTTACATTCATAATTACATTTTGAGTTACACAAATTTCACTTTTTATGGTTCTCTTTGGAAAACTGCTTTTCTATACAAAGTACAACATGGTAATTGAGTATTTTAGAAATGTATCATAGTACCTATTATAAAAAACATTGGGATGACACTTGCAATTTACATATTCGCACTGCAAAGCTGCCAGCAGTGCTTCAGTATTACTTCATGGTTTATATTTTAGATGTTCTATTTCTGGAAGCACTGTATTTACTTAAGAGCTTTTATTCATAATTAATCATTTACTTAAGCAAATGAAAGGCTCCACTGACACATACCTTAGAAATAAAAGGAATATGTATTCTTGTGTAAGGCTTAATTAATTTTATAAGCACTTGTGTTCTGATGTTTCGTAAAAGCTCTGTAAGAGAAAATAAATACCGTAAAAACAACAGTACTGAAATAAAGATGCGATACAGATCCATAGAGAAAGATATCCTAAATACCATGATCTTTTAAGGTAGTAATTCATTGAGGAGGGGAAGATAACAAAGTAAAGGGACCCTTTTTTTCCAGGCAACATGTAATTCTGAAGATGGACAGGCAGAGTTGAAAACTGTTTAAACACTGAGCAACATATTCCCTAATAAAAGTTTGTATTATTCAAACTGGATAAATCCTACAGATTATTGCACAATATATCTGCCCCTGTAATTGATGGCTGGAAAGCTTGTCTTGTCCAGAAGTGAAAAGAGGTACTCTTAAGGCTCTGGAACTTAACGTCTGCGTGCACATAACTTCATGGGGAAAAGTCAGATTTTAAGTTAAAAGATCAGGGCATAATGGTATAATTTTGAGGTGGAATTGAAGTATAAGAGTCTCCATGAAGTGCCTGATTTTGCTTTGATAAGATAGTACAGCCATTGTTTTAGAAATTTCTACATTGTTAAATTTAGATAAAATGAAAGCATAAATTACAATTGTAAATTAACAGAAAAAGAGCTAGATCTATTTTTACCTAACTAGTTATACAAGCACTGTTTATATAATGAAAAATAACACTGAAGTCCAGCTCATGTATCTCAACAAAACTAAGGAGAGTAAAATAATGAGGCAAAGTATGTAAACATTATAACTGTGAATGTACATTCTGTATCATTACAGAGTGAAAACAATGAGAAATCACTAGGCATGTGAGGGGGGAAACTCAAATTCTCTTCAAACATTTGATTCAACTGTCCTCCATCACTTGCTTTCCAGTTCTGTTACACTTTCTTCCTTAAGCATCCGTCTCTGTAATCTTACAGAATCTCCCTGCAAGACTTTGAAGCTTACCAGTAGTCGACACGTAGCAGCAGTAGAGGGGTTATATTTAGTTTCCCCTGCTGTTTGCCATGTTCTCTTTTACAAACAAGAAGTGTAAGAAAACCACGTCTCTGCTCTTTTCTTTCATGTAAATATCCAGGTAAATGACCTTGCTATGCCACAGTAAGCCCTATTCTTGATGAAAACAGTAGTTATCTGAGAAACTGGACACTACATTCAAGTGAAGAGACTTAAATTATCAGATACATGGTAAATGCAGGGGTAACTGTATTTTCTTATGTTAATGGAATGAAAGAGCATTATAGTGTGTTCCCCTTGTATTTTAAGTACTAGAAAATCCAAACATTGTTTTCTATATTAGAATTATGTGTCTTGTTACCTATTTTATTACCACACATTTATTAATACAACCTTCATTACACTGTTTACATAATTTGTCTTTAATCTGAAGAAGAAAAATAACCTTATGAACTATTAAACATCTAACTGTTGAGACTGGCACAAACCACCTTTACAAGTAAGGCCTGCCCTTCTTTCATCGTTTCAATGGAAAAAAAAAGCCACTACTCAAAATATTTAGTGCATAACAGCACCGTAGATACTATCTTAGAATATCCACTCTTGCTAGAATTTTCCCATTCATTCCTGCAATTCTTCATGGTCATTCTACATGCCTGAATGCATGTTGGCCTTGATCAACTTCTAAAGAACTTGGAAACAGTAAAGGAACCATCCACAAGTAATTACAAAGAATTCTTATTCTACCAAGTAATGAAAACAAAAAGGATTAAAATAGCCTGCAAAAATACCTTCAATGTGCTCCCTTATGAAGGGATCGTCCATGATGTTGCTGTGATTTGTTTTCAGAATCTTCTCAAATTCCGTGATGTCGTTATTCTGATAGGCACTGCACGAAACCCAAGAGACTGAATTATTATTTTTAAAAGCTAAACAGACTCCTAAGAGTGTGCTCTATGCTTCTAAAAAACCCCTTGTAGGAAGTGTTGGTGGCAAATAATTTTATTTAGAACCTTTATAAGGAAAAGCTATTTCAACATGAGGTGCAACAGAAATGCTCTGTCTCCCATTTCCATTGGAGCAGTATTTACAAGAGTTCAGTACGAGCATTCGGTTATTCCACAAGTGCACACTAGTTTCAAAACCTCTGTAGTTTAAAAAGTTATTCTTTAAATAAGCCTAGGCCCTAAAAATAGCCAATTTTGAAAAGTATCACTACTTGAATTTTGGCTTCATGAAGCTATACTTTATATAACAAATGTGAGCTAAAAGGAGTCTAGAGGGTTGTTGCTGTTTGCAGAATGTCCATTTTAAGCTGATTTCTAAAAATATGAGAAAATGGAAGAAATCCTGACTGCTAGGATCAACCATCAGTAATTCTGGTGTAGTATTACTTTTTAGGTTTTTATTTACAGCTAATTTTTAGTTTATATATCATTAAACTAGTCAATCTTGTTATCTGAGAGCAGATTACGAAAAGGAGGTGGGTTCAGACACCTGTTGTTCAGTAGTGGCACCACAGCATTAGTTAAGAGCATTAGGGTAAAAGCTGTAACCACTGAAACAAGACTTTTTTCTTCAAATATATTGGTTTTACAATTCAAATCTATCATCTTTGCTTACAAGAACGATCAGCTATAATAGGAACTACCTACTAACTAATTAAACTTACACAGTAATTTAGTTATACTAAGCTACAGGCTATCAATGTTTAACCTGGAAGACACAGTGTCCAATGCACGCTTTCAACTTCTGTTTAATATTAAAATAAACATTTTAAGAACAACATTATTTTTCCTTCCTAGTCTCTGTATGTTTTTAAACTGGTTTTTAAGCTGGTTAAAAAAAATAAAAAATCATCCTTTAATATCAGTAAAACGGGCAAGAAAAAGGCCTGTTAAATTTAATGTGGAACTCGATGAGATTATAAAGAATTATATGAGTGGAATGGACATGAAACCAGTAAATTTTCCTCCATAATTAAAAGGAAATTCAGTCAAGTCTATTTCATTGCTTATTCCTCAAGTCTCTTTTTAACATACATAAAACATTCAAGTTCCCAAAGTAGAATATAGGAAGAATTAAAAACATAATTGTAATCTTTGGAATTCATTTTATCTTCTGCGTATTTCTTATCTACAGTGCTTTAATTGCATTATTAATTTTAAAGAAGTTACACTCAAATGTCAAGATAAAAGACATAAACAAGGAATATGAAGAAAATCAGATTGGGTAAGGCCATCTGGAGTTCCTTCTGCCTCAAATTCACATGGAACTATGACAGTGAAGTAGGAAAGACATGTCTAAAGTGCAGCTATTGGAAACAGTCTTGTAATAAGCTGCTAGATAATTTATTCATGATTATGTCAATAATGGATGAACAGTCTCACTTTCAGAAACAATTTGTATGCATACAGTAGTACACCACAGCAGTATCAGAGTAAGGGTTGTTCCAACACGAGATCAACGGTGTATTTCAAAGTGTGAGCAGACATTATTTCTTACGTAATGAAAAGGTGGGAAAAGTTTTCCTACATGTTGTTTTTACTTGTTCATAGTTTTTACTGATAAAGCAAAGGCAGGATGGGTGGATGGAACCGGTTGGCGTCAAAACACAGTATACAAAACCTGACTCAGTTCAATTTACTTTACCTAGTGATCTTAATATACTAAAGGTTCTCACATCACTGCTGCATCAAAGAGGTAATGAAGGCTTCTTTTGAATTTCACGTTTGAAAGACAGAGGGGATGACCTGACAGTTCAGCTTCATATTCCTAGATTATGAAACTCCTTTAGTAATCATGCCCATGCATCCAGTTAAGTCTGTTGGCTTTGGTATGAGAGGTCAATCTTACCTCAATTTCTCATCTATAACCAGCCAAACGCAAAGAACAGCTGCCATACAAGGTGGGACAATTTTTTTAAGGGAGAAATGAGGTTTTTGTCACTGCATAAGAAATGCAGCATAGTAGAAGATAACAGCACATTTCTGTATCCCTACCTGGTACAGTACATATATTCACTGGCATGTCACAGTAAATAAGTTTCTTAAGAAAAACAAACAGTGTACAAATATTTGCCCAATATTTATGAAATAACTATGGTAACTGCGTAGAGAAAAGCCAAATGCTCCATTTCTGGTTTGGACACTACATCTTATTTTTTGTTCTCCAGATAAATTAAAATCTTACCTTACTAAATTCGTCATTGCTAGAATTTCTGGATCATTTTTGTATGGTTTCGCCTAAGGAGAACAGAAAGCACAATATGCATGTTTACATTTTAAATATTTTTTGTCTTTTGAATAATTTCTCTCTCCACTGGGGGGGGGGGGGGGGGGAGATGAAAAATTTAAGAAATACCTCCTGAGAGTCAAATGGATTTATTCCAGACTTCATGAGCATGTTTGCTAAGACCAAGTATTTTAAGCAAGTGGTTCTTCTGGGGCTCCCTGATTCATCATAATTCTTGAACGCTTCAAAAAAATCAGTGTGTGCCTTTTCAAACTCTCCTTCTCTTAAGTGCATTTTGCCTCCACATTCTGAAAAGAAAAAACAGATTAAGAGCAAGGAACACTGTGTGCTTGCTGCTGACTACAATAATTGTATTCAGAAGTTCAATGCTATTTCTAAATAGATTACTAAAATATTTTCAGGAGTCTTTTCATTCTCTGAAATTGCTAGGGAAAAAAGAAAAGCATGAGGGCCTTCACATGCAGCATTGCCATTTGAATAAACCCATTCCACAGAAGAAAAAACAAAACCCAACCCACACCATAAATCTGAAAGAACACTAATCCTTACAGCCAATAATTAGTTTAACCTTATGTTAAAATACTAGAAAAACCAAAATGGAATTTATCTCCATTTCAGAGGTAACAGACTTCCTGTATTTATGGAACTCTTCCTATCTGTTGAGCAAAACCACACATTAAAAATGAGAAATTATCTGTCTCCTTTTATTTCTGAAGTACCCACTGCTGCCCAATTATCTATGCAAGTGCCTGCACCGGGGGAAGGGGAAAGGCACAGTATTCTGGAGAGTTTTTTTCAAGTCGAATGGCATGTTTCCACAATCATTCATCATTATGGTTAATAAATAATATTTTCAAGAACATCTTAAAGCCCTTCAGTTTCTGATTAATTTCACTGAGGTGAGACACCAAGCACAAATTTATGAAAGGGGACTGCAGAAATAGCTGTCCCTTCTGCTAGCAGTCCTGTCTAGCCTTTTTTTATCCTTTGCAAATGCCTTTGCATGTATCCTTTATTGCCTGCTGTGGTGTTAAACATTTAAGTTCAAGTCTTTTTGTTCTATTGCTTCTCTCCTACACTGTATGTAGCCACTGTCCTGCCCTTCTGACCTGTGCATCTGTTACTTAGGCACCAAGAACAGCAGAGCTGAAGTCCCACAAGAGGCTAACATTGAATAAGACTCTAGCCAATGCATGTGTAGTTTGTCTGCATCTCGACCTACAGCATCGCCTGTCTTTACAGCTGGAACTGGAAGGAACGTTAATTATCCAATTTTCATAAAACCCACCTATGCAACAGAAGTTAATGAAAAATTCAAGATTAACTTGCCTCTGATAACTCCCATGATCAGTGGATGAGGAATGGCTGACTTGATGTGCAATGACTGTTCATATAGTGCTTTAAGTTTTTTGTTATTTTTCTGTGCTGTATACATTTGAATTTCCAAAGCATAGATTTCCAGTAGCTGAGTACCTTTTTTTAGATCATCTTCCCCATCATCAGTCTAGGATAGATTAAGTAATAAATACTGTGAAATTTTAAGAGAACAGTGATTTCAGTTTTATACTAGTACCAAACACTCTCAGTAATTTCCTATAGAAATAAGGATATTCCTAAAGCTTAAAAAGTTTTGATATAGCAGTTAACACAAAGCGTAATGCTCAAAGAACTTATCACAGGCCCAGTTTTGAAGACTCTTATTTAAAAAGTCATTATTTTTATTTAATTAAATCTTTTCCTCAGAACTTTGCCCTTTATTTTCTGTTTTCCTTAAACCACACTCTCAGCATATAAATGCAATGACTGACACACATACATACATATATATATATATATATATATAAATACATACAACTCTCCTGCTGCCTATAACAGAACCATTTCCCAGATATTTGCAACCCATTTTTCATGCTGGAAGAAGAAAAGGGGACACAAACAGGCACAGCAGGCAGCATGGCAAATTTCCACCCCCCTTCCAAATGGAAAAGGGACAACTGTACTTTCAGTTTTTAGTAAAGCTCACTTGGAATCTGCAGTATATTTTAAAATAAGTGTCTGTGCATTACAGATTATTCATAATTATTCATATGTCCTTCTCATCCCTGCAGCTGACTAAAAAGAAACTTAATCAGCAATTGTGACTATCTTTAAAAAATCATCTTTAGGCAAGGCATAAAACATATCCTTTTCTTGTTCATGTTATCAAACAGATAAAATAAAGCAAGCACATTATTTCTTCCCTCTCTACTAAGGCCCAGCAACGGTGCCTCAAAGGCCAACAACAGATGTAAAAAAAACCCTAACAAACAAAACAAATAAAATACCCCTACAAACAACAATGCTGTTTACTAAGCTGCAGTGATTTGGAATATAAGCGTACCTGGCATGACTGATGCAGCTGACGCAAAATCTTTTGTAACTTTCCATATTCTTCTCGTTCTAAATATAATTTGCCAAGCTGTAATGAGAAAAAAAAACAACCAAAAAAAAAGCTGAAGTACTAAGGTCTACTAAGATTTCACAATTATAATTTATAAATAAGAGTCAGCTGAAGGTGTCACAAACAAAAGCGAAGAAGGGTAAGTTGTACATTTTACCTTTGTGTTTGTCTTAAACCACAATCTATCATTCTTAGCATCTTTCAGAGCTTCAAGTGTTGTTTCATAGAATTCCTGAAGCAAATCCATCTGACATAAAAAATCAGAATTCTATAATTGTAAACAGCAAATTTGTACCTGTTAATGAAGTTAATCTGAACAAACTAAAAATGCATGCTTGAACTTCAAAATAAGAAAGGTACCTGCATCTTACTGTCTGCTTTTAAATTATAAAGACCTTCTAAAGTAACAAAACTAAGTGCATTAGCTTCTCTCATATGAAATAGCTATCAATAAAGTATTCACATTTTAAGACTTTAACCATCTATCATCCTAGTGAAAATGAAAGCCAACTTATACAAGCCCATCTTATATAACCAAGCGATAACATTCTTATGTTGTGTAACAGAAGACTAACACTGGCAGCATTGCTCCTACTTAAAAGGAGAAAAACAAAAATAATTTCCATATCAAAAAGAAAATACAATTTACAAAGAGAGAAATGGTCAAAGGAAAAAAATGCTTTCTCCTTTCTACACTACCAATGCTGCATCAAAGAAAGCTTTTGAACACATCAATCATTTCTTTGCATAAAACCCCCAAAATGGAAATCAAGTTACTGAGTGTGACCTTTAACAAAGGTTCTACAGAAAATGCATTAGTATTGTTTATGGCTATTGTTCTGTGGGGGACAACAGATCTGTGCCTATACATCAGGTTCGGATTTTCGGACTGGCCCTCCAGGTCTGACTCCAACTGCATTTAAACCAAATACACTGACCTCTGCCAACAAGGTATAGTCTAAGACAATCCTTTAGACCTTAAGAGTAAACCATCATTCAACTATTAAACTTTCATTTACTAACAGTGGCAGGACAGGAAGGAATGTGATAATGACAGAGGAGTCATCACTAAAGACCGGTGGTCCTCCATATGCAGGTGCTACTTCACACAGTCAGTTAGGGGAGGTTTCTACTCTCCGTAAGGCTTCTACACCACCACAAAAGAGAAGGAGCTGGGCTGTATATCTATGAACATGTACCTAGCTTGCACAGTATACCCAAAGACAGGCAGTATTTAACACCAACAATTCATTGCAACATTCTTCTAAGGTTCCCTCCTCCCCTCAAAAGAAACAAAACAAAAAAACCCCACACACAACAAAAAAAAAAACACCCCCAAACCAAACAAAAAAAACCAGAAAAGGTATTGTTTAATTACAAATCATATTTCAGAAGGCACTTGCACGTGTAGATGCCTAAAAAACATGCTAAAAAAACAAAGCAGAAAACCCCACAAGAAACCACTAGCATTTACTTTACTTATTAGCATAAAGATACCAGGTAAATATTGCCAAAAAAACCTCAAATTTATGAAGAAGTTACTTGTGTTGACAGAATCCATAAAAGGGCACAGGACAGCAAATTAATACCGCAAATATTCCCTGTTAAGATCAAAAAACTCCAAACCAACAGAGCCCCATACACAAAAAAGTCCATAGTTAAAAAAACAAAATGGAAAACCACGAAGAAGAAAGAACTGATGATCTAACCTGCTTGGAAGTAGAGATATAATCAAGAATAGAATTGATGGATTTTTCAGAGTAATTCCTTGTAACTGCACTCCGTATGTAGGTCAATAGCTGTTTATATCTGTTCATCATTTCAGGAAAGTTAGTCTAAAAGAAAAACAAAACTATTTCACAGTTTTTGTTTTAATGATTAAAACCAGAATTATATCTTGCAAATAAACATACAAAAAAAAAAGCATAACAGAAAAGACTATGCAGCAATGGTTGCTATTAGGAGCTTTTACATCACCATTTTATTCATAAGCAGAATGACAAATAACCTCAGGAAGACTGCATAGAATAGGCATTTATCTCAATGAAGAATGCAGAATTGGCTATACAACTGTTTGGAATGGTTGCATACGTAGCATATAAATTTTTCACTGATTTGTTTTGGTGAAGTACACATATATAGAAACATTACTGGTTTCAGTGGTATGATATCTCAGAAGAGCAAGAACTACAGCAGCTATTTTGCATCCATTTTGTGTTCTGTCCTGGTTTAAGCACTACCTGTCTGTAGTAGCCATTAACAGATGCAGAATACAGGTTCTAGCAGATTCAGTTGTCACAGCCATAAATTATAGTAACTATATAAGATCTCTGGGTCAAATACATATTTATGCCATTTACTCTCAAGTGATAACTGTAATTCTTACCAATTTAAAGTTTATTTTAATCATCTGTTTCAGAGCTTTGAATCCCCATTCTCCTTTTTCACCTTCAAGCTCCAAAACCTGAAATAGAAGAATTTTTTAAATAATATTTATAAAAGCTTTATTCAAACCTAAATTGATTTGCAGCTTGTTTAAAATGCACATGTCGCATACATGCCTTTTCCCCCTCGGTTTGTTCCTTTCAAAGTAATGTTTCACTCTGCCCTGCTTTTCAATTTTACTCTTCCCTGATATTGAGAAAGCTAGTGAGAGGTATGTACCTTATTAGTTTTCACAAGCTGGCTCATACAGGGAGAGTCAATTGTTATTTATAGGCAACAGCAACAAAAACAAGTCTAACAGCAAACATTAAACTTAAATGCCACTCCATAAATGCACATACACAAGAAAGTTGGAACATCCCCTGCAACACTGACTCAACCCACCCCCCTGACTAAATTAATCACAAATTTACACTTCTGGGTTTCTCTATTTTCTTCACATATCAGAAAGGCACCTGGGCTTTAAAGTAACATAATTAAGGGAATGTCTTGTAAGTAAAAATTTTAGCAAGTTTTTGTTTAAGTCATGTATATAATATTGTTAGACACCATGAATAAGCCAAGAGATGCAAAGATCTACTTTTTGCTTTAAGAAGTTACATATAACATATTGCTTTCTGGTGACAGTGTGCAAACATTAAAAACTTCAAACTGACATGAAGGAAAGAAAACTCTGTGTCACTTAGTGTCTATACATTTAAAGCTTTGGAATTAGATAGCAAACTAAATATAATACATAAGACACTGGGGAAACACCATGTCATTTTAAAAAATAAATGTATCTGGCCTTCTATAGCTGACACATGAAAACACACTTAGGACTGTTTATTTAACTTAGTAAATCTTGAAGACTAAAAACTCAGTTCTTTGATAAAATAGGACTATTCCATGTCCTATTTATGCTCCCTAAGAATGATCCTGAAAGGCAGTCAGCCAGGAGTCTAAATTGTCAAGTGGTAAACTGAGCACATAGTAAGCTAAAATTGCAGAAAATAACCCAAATGATAACAAATATTTCTAAAATGTGAATTGTTATAAGAAAGAGAATATAAAGAAAGAAAACCTTCTGAAAACTGCTTAATGCTGCTTTGGGATCATCTTCCTTCAAAGCTTTGGAATTGTAGTATTGATTTTCCAGATCCACATTTGGCTCCGAATTGCTGTCCTCAGAATATTCCTACATTTTAAAGAAAAAAAAAAAGAAAAAAAAATTAACAAGAAGAAAAAGTTCAGACCATTTAATATTCTGTAAAAAAATATAGTAAGCTATGTTCCTCAAAATGCTTGTATATTAACAGAAATCTTCCAGTTTAGAGCATGTTAACAGGTATGGACTCTTATGATGGTTTCGCCTCTCTCCTATTACTAGGGCAGCCTCATCATCCACCAACACTTACCTGTCAACAGATTTCTTTCTGGACTGACAAACTCATAGCTCTATAACTTCACTGTTATGACAAGTACAGGTTGTATTACTAAAATTCTGCCAATTTTGGATTTTAAGGACAGATGCCTAATAGCATACATGATTTCTGTATGTGGATGCGAACATGCTGGCCACCAGTCTTCTGAAAGGCACTCAGTTATACGACCTTTGCTATCCACAGAAAAGACTCTGGCTGAGCTGTCACACAAGTAATGATTCAGCTACAGAGGATATAAAATGCTGCCATGAATCTCTCTCTAATCTGCCTTTTTATGCCGTAACAATTCATACTTGTCTAAGGAAATTTAAAAAAAAGAAAAAGAATAATGATGGTAACAGCAGCTGCTTCTGTGCTGAGAAGCAGGAGATGATTGAGAAAATGCTACAGATAGTGCCAAAGAGGGTGGGGTAGGGCATAGGCACAATAATTTAATCAAATAATTACTCATCATGTACCCCAGTGCCAAACAAATGGAATAATTTACTTCTACCAATTATTACTTCATTAAAAAAAGAAAGTACTCAGAGGCTTTTTCTGATTAAAAAAACCCTAAATAATTTAACTTCTTTTGCTGAAGGACAGTGTTGCATGTCTGAATGACAAAACACTAGCTAAGCTCAAATAATAATTTCATTTGAGGTTTACACGATTCAAAACCATTTCATACCTCTGCATTTTCTGAACAGATTGCTTAGCTATCAGGAGACAAACTGTTTTAACAGAATCTCTTAAATCTCAAAAGTTACTGTTGTCAGAGTAACCTCCCCTTTTAACAATTTAAACTGCATAGTCAGGTGCCCTTCTTTAAGTTTGAATTTCTTCTTTTACTGTCCTCCTTCACCATGCACTTCATTTATTTTTATTCATTCACGTATTTCTAGTATTAATGGACTCCTTCAAAACCATGAGAAGGAATGAAAAGGAGATGAGGCAAAAAAGCTCTTTTAAATTTAAACTAGCTCTCTCCTCCCTACAGTGTAAGCAAATCTTTCATAAGTTTAATTATTTTTTTAATTTCCAATGGAAAAACGAACTATGGGAGCTTACAGTTGGCTCAAATTTTATTAAAAGTGGTCCTTGAAATATTTATCCTTCAACCTGATAATATTTCTATTTGTTACAGGCAGGGAAGTTGCTCATGTATGTATGTATTTATACTCAGATGACATATCAGTATTTAGCGATAATGAAATGGACTTTCAAGCCTAGTGTGAATCCCGCAAACCAGTCTTCTAAATTCCCAGAGAACTACAAAGCTTGGTATTGAAAATTGCAAACAAAACGGGAAGCAAGTGTCTTATTCCATTGGGCAAACTTTAATTCTGGTTAGGCTGGTTTCAGTAATTCTTTACCCTATTGATCCAACACTGATGGAGCTGCTACAAAACCATGCACATGATGTTAACAGCTGTAAGCACACCAGGCACCTGAAGAAAATCCAGGCTGTCAAAGCTTAAACAACACAGCATTTAAGATACATGTAATCAGCTGATGTCTTGTTTATACTGAACTTGAGCAACAGGGAGTATTTTTGGCTTAAGTATCTATTTGTAAAGATAAAAGGAGAGCAAACTAAATTAATTCCTTTTAGGAAGCAATGTGCTCTGTTAGTCTAAAGCCAGAAACATCTGGATTTTCATCTTAGCTCTGGCAGTGATTCTGGAAGCCTTTTCTCAGATAATTTTTCTCAATGGTACTTAAATATCCCATAAAGCTATTTTTATAATAGTATTAATACATACTAGTGTTAAGTCTAGATACCTTGATTTTCTAATGGACACCCTTCAAAATGCATCAAAGGTAGTGTTCTATGTTCCCACAGCTGTATTTTTCCACCACTTGATGCCTATTTGCCTTACATCTAATTTAGAATGTTGATACAGACTCATGACTCTAAGGGAGACAGGGCTTTCCTACTTCCAGAAAATGTAATGTAAGGTGCTTACTTTAAAAGACATGTTTAGACTTAATGGCTGTGAAAAAAAATTCAACTACGAACTAAATAGGATATGATGCTGTGAATCTTTAAACAATTAAAAAAAACTCCAAACCTGCTATGTAGTAGATACTGCATCTTAATTTAAGCACCAGTGCTAACGATGCCGATGCTGATTGATTCAGAAGGACCAGCACTCCATCTTCTTTTGATGCAGAGATGGCTTAGTGCAGTATGATACAGATGTGAGATAATTCACAGAATCATAGAATAGTTAGGGTTGGAAAGGACCTTAAGATCATCTAGCTCCAAAGGAGGAAAGGAAAAGTGTGAAGCTGTATCCTCAAAGTTCAGACTAAGAAAAAGATGCATCTCCTTCCCACTACTGAAAACAGGAAAGTTCTTTTAACAATAAATTCAGATACCAAACACCTGACCTTTCTGCACCCTGTTTAACACCCATGCTTCCTTCCTGAACAACTTCCCTGGCTCAACCCTTTTAGGTGAGAAACTTTCTTGCATCAAACAATGCAGTAAAAGTGCACAGAAATTAGGCAGAATATCAGGTTTACAAAAAGGATTTCTACATTAGTCTAAGCATCTCTACTGTACCATCTAGACCTAATATTCTGCATAGTGAAGAGCACCCTTAATTATTAATGTATAAAAGCACCTGTGTGATATAATTTAGCTCCAGCTGACGTAAAAAAGCAAAAGGCCTAAGAACTTTCTTTAATAAGATGGTGGTGATATTTTTAAATGGACATCAACACTACCAGTTCAAATGAAAACAACAGAAGTCTGAGTACATAGAACTGATCTTTGAAACTCATTTAGATCTCCCTTCCTGAGAGGATCAAAACAAACAAGTGTTTTTTTTTATCATTACTCATTACATTAGAAAGCCCTGATACAGCTTTTTAAATATGTAGTTAAAAGACAGGTTAAATATTATTTAAACACTGCGCCACTGAAAATCTGAGTGTTCTAAATGCAGTCAGTTATAAACAATCCAATCCTACCACATAACTTTTGAAGGAAGAAAAACTACCATAGTAGCTAAACTGCAATGGAGACAGAACCTCTGATGTAGCTTACTCTGCCTGGAACACAGCTCTTTCAAATAATGTTAATAAGAGATAAATCAGTACCAAGGAACCAATTTAAGTCTTTATTATACTATGGATTATGTTTTCACAAAATTCATTTCAACTAGTAAACAGCTTTGAGACATTAAGCCTCAGCTTCTAAAATGAACATGCGCAGAAGACAACTCGCCCCAGTCAGCTTTAGTCATCCTTTTTATGGCACGGATCCATTTGCAGATCCTCCACTAGCAAAGGCAGGTTAAAGGCATCCAGTACTTCCTGACCCTCTAGTCCTAGCATCCTCTTTCCCCTTCACTGCAGCAATTCAACATTTTATGCTGTACGAGTCCTTCAGGATGGCGGATCCTGCTGGGGCTGAGAAAAGAGGCCTGCCAACGCTTACCCAAAGTCCTAAGGCTGGTGAGCAATGGAGCGGGCAACCAGGAAGGGTAAGAAAACCAGCTGTGGTTTTCTGTAGCAGGAGTCTTAGTCAATGTGGTCTTGAGATTATATTGTGCTCTTGAAGTATGGCAGAATAAGGTACATGAACTTGGAGACCGTTAACACTGTATCAGTGACATGTAACAGTAGATATGTGGCACTCTGGCAGATGACCAGGTTAATGTGCCACTCTAAAATTAAACATGTACGAAACCAAGATAAAACCATTTTGTGAAAACTATCCTTGTACTAACTTTCGTGTCCCCTCTCTTGCCTAAATCACTTCCCTAACCTCTATATGGAAAGTGGAGGGGTGGTCTGAACTTCTGCTTTACTCTATAGGAACCGAACTCCTATTCTGCAAACCTTTTTCCAAAGAAAGGAAAAGTAGCTAGAGAGAGGACAACTTTCAGACAAAAGACACAATAGAAAGGGTTCTATTTCTGTATAAATTTATCCTTCAAGGCCATTGTTAACAATACTTATTACTGTCCATTTTCAATTGCTGGTAGTTTTACCAAATTTCAACCGCTGGGGCTGATTCACACCATTCTTTTTTTGTTGAAGTGCAATTGTTTCTGAGAATAAGTCTGGTACAAATTTTATTTTACTTCAGGTAAGTTTGTTTCATAACCATGGCATTTAGGAGCTCTGCTAACTCTAAGATTTGGAGCAAAGACCTGGTATTTTGCAAAAACACTAGTGATGTGGGCTGGGGGAGAGGGGGCTCTTTGTTTGCTTTTAAAAACACAAAAATGCCCAAATGAGGCCAACAATAACAAAAGAAGACAGTAACTCCTCAAGATATTAATATACTAGCTTGCCAGATAAATTTCTTGAACATTTCACCTACAATAAACATGCACTATTTTCACATAGCTCATACGCACTGGCTGCCAAAGTAACCAACCAAACACCATCCCAGCAGCAAGTACAACTTGCATTTGCTCTTCCTGGACCATTGGCCCCAGGCACTCACACAAAAAGCAAGTAACAGTTTCTATGTGCATTTGCCACTGGTATTCAGGCACATGAATACAAAAAAAAGCAATCAGACTGGAATGCAAAAGAGCAAGGAGGAAAAGAACAGAGGCAAACCCTGAGAATAAAAACAAGAGTCTGATTTGTGTAAAAAGTCTGCAATCACTCAACCATGCACTGGGTATCCAGGTTTTCTTTTCCAACTTCCAGGTCTCTGCTCCTACTGACTAACACTACAAGTGATGTAGTGACTGCTGGCTCACACCAGGGCTGACACCAGGAATCAGTCTGTGAAGCCAGCAATCTGCAGTACAGTCCCGTGGAAGGCCATTGCTCTCTGCCTTTTATTTCTTTTAAATAGAAGTTGGAAGAGGCACATAAATGAGACAGAAAGCTGCAGAAATAAAACCTCTGGTATTATGACATGTGAGGAGTACTGCAAAGAAGTGCCTTTTCGTTCTACCTCTATCACACATATTGTTTGCTGTGTGCATCGTTTTCTACAAGTCAAGGTTTTAGCATACCTTAGATTAATTTACTTGTTTAACACCCAACTGTATATCAGATCTGGGGAACTCTGTTCTGAACACTCTCTCAAAATAACTCTCTCAAAAAAAACCCAAACCAACAAAAACCAGAACTTACTGATGCTTGTCAATATTCAGATGCAAAGAATTTACTAATTATTCTCATGCTTTTTGCCTCAATGCTTACTTCTTAGATGTTATTGTAATGAGCAAAATAAGCCCCAAATACATTAATGCCGTGTTTAAAAATGAGTCTGAAGAGAATGCACAAAATAAAATATCAGGACACACACTGAATCTATAAAAATATGAAGCAGTAATTAATTCACAGAACAAGATATCCTGTCCTCCTTAAGCTCACTTATTTATTTTTTAATCACATACCAGTGTAATTAAACCTAACAAAGAAACAGAAGAGGGTAAAGTGGATCTGCTCGACTTGGAATTGTTTGCAATATACATATATATGTATGCGGTTTTTTTAAATGATGGCAACACTAAAAGAGTTGGGAAAAGGTGACCATATCTGCATGAAACTTCAGTTCTACCTATTAAATGCATCCATATAATGTAGGAAAATCTCACTTACTATTGATGAGACTGCTTATCAAGATTGGTAACATACAGAAATTCCTTTTGAAATGGAGTGTATTTCTCCTTGTTGGAAAGAAAGAGTGAACCGATTCACATTTACTAAGCTACCACTCTGAGAGCTTGAAATAAAAAGTAACACTTTTTAAGTAAGAACTGCTATTTGTTAATATTAATGCAGCCTAAAAAAGGAAATCCTCAGTAATCTGAAGGCACGCTCCCATATTTGAGCTGTCTCCATGAACCTGTAGCCATCTCACTGGGGTGCAGACTGCTAGCTCTTCGCTGGAATTGCATACAGCTTTTCTACTGAAGTGACTGAAATAATACAACTCTGTAACATAAAAAGACAAGCTGCTCAGCAAACAAATTTGTCTATCCTCCGGAACACAATAAAATGTCTCATTAAGAGCACCACAGACAAATCCTCATTTATTTAAAACAAGGAAAAAAAAAGAATCAAGTAGATGTATTACAACAACTGTCAATGTGTTGTCATTGTGCCTGGAAGAATCAATTTCTGGAGAAAGGCCGAGTTTAGTCTCAAAGTCAATTCTAAACATAGCTTTTTGTTTGAGACTGAAAACAAAAGTGAAATTTACAATGGTCCTTCCCTTTCTCCTTCTCCACCCTTGAGCAGAAGCTAGTAAAAAGAACTTGGATGGAAACAAGGCACATACAAGGCACCTAACGGCACCAAACTAGAAATTAAAATTCAGTGGTTTTCATAATGACCAGTAAACATTACTCTGGTCATTGAAGCATAAAGTGGAATAATCCATATTATAATCAAGGCTGTCACTGTGCATTACCAGCAAATTGTGAATCTAGGTTCATCCACCCACAAATATAAATGGATTTTTTTCCTCATACCCAGATCTTACCAACTTCTATAGCAGTGGCTGAGGTCATTCACATGCAAAACCCTTGACTTTTAGCCCAATAAAAAAAAAAATAAACAGAAACAGTCAACCCTGATCATAGAACAGAATCATAGAATGGTTTGGGCTGGAAAGGACCTTAAGCTCATTCAGTTCCAATCCCCTCTGCCATGGGCAGAGACACCTTCCACTAGAGCAGGTTGCTCAAAGTCCCATCCAGCCAGATCTTGAACACTTCCAGGGATGGGGCAGCCACAGCTTCTCTGGGCAACCTTTGCCAGTGCCTCACCACCCTCACAATAAAGAATTTATTCCCTGTATCTAATCTAAATCTCCCATTTAAGTTTCATATGGGAGGTGTTCCAGCCCTCTAAGCATCCTCATGGCCCTATTGTATCTCATCTATAAAGTGGGTAGTCTTCAGCTGTTTAACAGTGTAGTAATTAATTATACAAAAATCTATGATGAAACTGGGAAAGAGCTGGGGCTTCAGAATATCTGTGCACATTTTGGTTCACGTGTAAAACATTTGCATACTTAAGGATATTTAACTGACTGGTTCTACATAATCAGCAGGTTCAAGAGCATGTTTAAAGAGGAACTGCTATAATCACCTTCCAGCAACAGCTGACAAAATGAAAACTTTTTGGGGAGTCTTCATTACTATCTTTATGCCAGTAGCTACCCTGAGAGACCTGAATCTAGTTTTGCCATGCTGTATTTTTAATAAATAGCTATATTTTCCTTTCATTATTTCTATAATTATTCGCTCTCCTCCAATCCAAAAGAAATATTCACTAACACTCAGATGTGCTCCTTTATTTTCAATTCTGTACTCACCTGGAGTACTTTGGTTTGTACTTTTTTTTTGTTGTTGTTGATTCAGACCCTTCTGCAGCAGCCTTTGACACTGAACTTGAGAACCACTGATCCCCTTATAGCCATTCCTTAATTTAACTAGATTTGTATCAACATGAAAGGAACAAATTGGGCCTTGTCTTCAGGGCCCCTAACTATTTTCCAAAACAATTTTGTGGTACACTGCTATTACAGTCTCAAGCACATTTGGAAACAACATCCAATCACGGCTGGTTTGTCCGAGAATGCTGAAACTAGTCTGGCTAGAATATTTTTATTCTTAAATTCTGTGTTATTTTGGGGTTTTTCCCCCCATCAGTTATAAACACAAATTAAATATAAATATCTTGTGTAAGTATTATTTGATGCTTTACAAAGAAATTACATACTGAAGAGAAAAAATTGACACACTTGTTATTACAAGCAGTATTTTTTTTCATTTTGGAAAGGTCTGGGCTAGTGGTAATTTATAACAATGAAAACGATCCAGGAAAAGTAACTTAGGAGCTGAAATTTGCCACAGGCAAGAAGTTTCAGAAAGGCTTTCCAATGAGGAAGAAAGCTCTTCAGAAAACAGATCCACAGGTAAAAGCATTAGACCAGTAATTATTCTAGGGGAAAACATTACAGACCATGAGCTGAGCTGCATCCTTACTCAGATTCATATGTAGAAAACTGCATTTAAAGACTGAAAAATGCAATTCCAAAGGTTTCTCTACATGTTCAGTTCTCATGCTGTGTATATTCACCATGAATTCATCTGTTTGTATTCTTTTGTATTGTATTCAATTGTATAACATGAAAAAATAAACACAGTATCTTAAATCACAACATGGATTTCAGTGTTAATGAAAGTGAATGGAAATTTACTGTGGAACAAACTGGATCAGTAACATATTTTTAATAGTCTCAGTGTATTTCCTCCAGAAACCTTGTTTCTAAAAGTTTGTGAATTCATTCATGGACTTAAGTAGGACACTTACAGTTCTTGTAATACTAACATAGGAAGCTCATAAGGTAAAGGTGATAATGCACATCAAACAAGCGCTCTTACATGAATTTCAGAAACTCAAAACCAGAGCTTTTATTCTATAGCCAATGTCATCAATGTCATCTAGCCCTTCTGGGCCGCTCTTAACAAGAATGGCTTGGAAATTATGTCAAAAAAAACCCAGACAAGTCTTTTAATTGAATCCTTAAATAACAGTGGTTATTAAGTGATCTGGTAGAAAGCAAATCTTCCAGAAGCAAGTGTCCAGGATTTTTCAGTGAAATTGCAGTACTGTACATGCAGGTTTAGCTGGAATGAATGAAATATCATTCAAAGCTCAACCAGACAGGTTTTTAAACATGCCTCTGTTAAAAAACCAAAACAACCCAAAACCCAACCAACTAAACCTCAAGCTCCAATATAAGATAATGGCAACAGAATTACAACTAATCAGAAAGCAGAGAAAACATTTTTTGTTTCAAAGATGACACCTACTTCGTTTACCAACATACCCCAAGATGGTTTTACTAATTGAAAAAAAATTTGGGGTTTAATAATTTAAAGGATACTCACTACATCAAAGCAATCCTATTACATTCCCAAATTCCCCCTGAAAAATTGGTCTGTTGCTAACGGCAAGCAGCGGGTTTTTTTTTTAACTGTAAAACCTCAGAGCAAAATCTGTTGTGAAAAATGTAACCCCGTACAACATGAAACCCCCAAAACACTGCAATTAACAAAAGAAGGGGGGTGGGGCGAGCAGCTTGCTAAGACTATAAAGACAAAAAGTTAAAACCGAGTGCACCCTTGGCATGTTGCATCAGAAACCGGCTGTGTGGCCATTTCCTCTCACTCTCCTTTCTCTTCCCCCCACTTTCCCCGCAGTTGGACGCTTAGGCAAGCACACGAATGACATCTACCCCCAAGGCCCCGCCGCAGCCACGGGCGGGGAGGAGGACAGACAACTTCGTGACTCCAGTTCGTGCCCGACACTCGGGCCAGAAGCAGGAGGAGAGAGGGAGGCAGGGGGTCGGTGCTTTCCCTTCCCCTGACTCCTGCGGAGGACAGCCGGGAGCCCAGGCTCTCCCGGGGCCTAGCTAGCTGTCCTGGGCCAAAGTTGGCCTTTTCTCTGCCAGAGGTGGCAGGGCGCCCTGCGGGGCGCGCTCCGAAAGCGGCACCCGTCCCTCACAGCCGCTGCCGGCTGCCACCCCCTCTCCTCCCCGGGAGGGAAGCTTCATCCTGTCAGTGCTCCTGCACGGGGCAGCACCCGGCGGGGCTGCGGCGAGCAGCGGACGCGCCGCGTTAACCCCGGCCCGGAGCCGCCACGCTCCCGCGAGACTCCTGTCCGCGCCGCTAAGCCGCCGCGCCTCCCCGCGCCCTACCAAGTCGTAGTCCTCCTCATCATCGCACATGAAATCATCCTCCATGTCAGACATCTTGGCCGGAGGACGGGCGGGGGGGGAGGAAGGAGGCACCGAAGACAACCCCTTCTCCCACAACCCCGCGCGGCGCTGCCCAATGTGGCTCCGCTTCGCCCGGAACCCGCAGCCGCCCGCCTCCCTCCCGCCCCCGTCCCGGAGCACACGGAACCCAATCCGCGCTGCACCACCGCCGGCTTCCTCTCCTTGCTAGCAACCAGCCCCTAGCAACCGCGGCCCGCTTCCCTCAATCCCTCCCGCCCTGTAGCGGATCCCTGCGGCTCCGCCTCGCCCCCTGACGCCAGAGGGGCCTCCCCGGCTGCGCCGCGCTTCGGTGGGGCGCTGGGCCTCGGCTCTGCCCGCCGCCCGCCGGGGCGGGCCGGAGCCGTGGGCGGGCCGCGATGGAGGGGCCGGTGTGTCCGTGTGTCCTGGTGCGAGCGGGCCGGGCCCGCAGCGAGTGCTGGGGCTGAGCGTCCCCGGGTGGCAAATTCAAACAGCCCGGCCGCGGGCCGATGCCGGCCGCGCTGCTCGGTCCTCAGGGCAGGCTGCGCGCCCCTTGGTGCCGCCGAACAACTTACCGGGACTGCGCTGCTATACACCAACAATACCGCAGCAGCAGTTTTGAACTGCCTAAATGTAAAAGCCACGGCCCTTACAAAACACCGGCTTTTACACAGTAATTTCTGCTGCCACCTTCAACTGGGGAAAAACACCCGGCAGACAAGCTCTGCCTCTCCACAAACACGAGGCCCCTGGTTCTTGTACGTTCACAGTGTTTTGTTGGGTGTTCAGATTGTTCTTTTGGTGGCCTTTTTATATTATTACAGGTTTTCTAATGGCGTGGGTTTTCTTTCGTCTTCCTGTGGCTACTAAGTTCTTTAAAAACCTGGTTTCTTCACCGTCAAACACACAAATCGGGAGAGGGTTTTACCTCAGAAAAACACATAAATCCACAGTGACATCTCAGTGTCACTATGCTTCTCTCAGTCCAAGCACTTAAAAGCTTCTTAAATTGAATTCTAGAGGCTTTAACATAGCAAAATACAATGAGCATTTGAAAAGCTTAGTTCTTCAGAGTAACTGCAGCCATTAACCTTGAGGGGTGAAGAGGAGCTGCGAGACTGCTTGTTTGAGGGAGGCTGGAAGAACCACGCACCAGAAAGATAAGAAAACCAAGGGGGTGGATACCGCCGCAGGGGACTGCACTGTCAGTTCATTGCTTCCATTATTATCGTGGTTTTCTGGGGAACAGACGCTGGTCGAGCGAGCGGCACTGAGGGCGATGCCAACCCGGGGCGGCTACACCTGGCCCCGCGCATCGGCTTTGAAGTCTCGCTGTTGCCTGCTGAATTCTGACAGGATTAAAGGAAAAACCCTTCCCTTCACGTGTCGAAGCGGCTTTCGTGTCACGCCTGGGCCATGGTGGGCGAGGAGCTGAAGGCTGAGCGGCCCCACAGCGTGTGCGCTGCGGGGTGCCGGTGTGCCTGCCAGCCGGGCCTGGGGCTGAGCGCTTCACCCGTGCCCTGCCACCGGCGCCGGGGCGGGGAGGAGGCCGGGCTGCCAGCTCTGCCGCCCGGAAGGACGGTGTCTGCCTGTCCCGTGACCGGGGTCCAGCCGGAGGCACCGCATCGTGCCGCTGCCCGCCTCAGCCGGGAGCCGGCGTGGGGAGCCGCCATGGCTGCGGAGGCTCCCGCCACCCTGCCGGTTCAGCTGGTGGAGCAGCCCAGGTGGGTGGGTCGCTACCCCGCGACCCCGGCCCCGCAGCGAGAGGCCACGTCTGCAGGCGGGACGCGGAAGTCCGCGGGTTTATGCCCGGGCGGGCGGTGTGCAGGCGGGCAGGGGAGGTGGAAGGGCAGGTGGGACGGTCCGTGCCCGTGCTCCTGGTCTGAGGTGACGGGGTTTTGACCTGTGCTGTTTTGTTTCGCCTCCACACAAACGGGGTGACGCTTGCATTCTGTGTGGCTCCGGGAGCATCCCTTCCGCAGCCACATTGGCCCGGGCGGACTTCGGTTTCTCGGCCGGCCGGGTCCTTTCTCCCGCCCCTTCCCCAGGGAACACGGCTCCCCGCAGCCCCTCGCACAGTGCCCCCGGGGCGGCAGGAGGCACGATTCACTCGGCTTTCCTTCGAGCATCTGTTATTTTTCCACATTTTTGGGGATACCGATTATCTTCTCAACCTGTTGGCTGTAAAAGAAATGTCCATGCCATTCCCTGGAACACCGTAGGTCTGCTTCTGCGTTGATACGCCCACAGCACGTGCCAACGCATGCACTTTCGCCATGGAGCTGCACTGGGTGCGTGGAAGTAGGATGCACAGATGGTTCAAATGAACCTTTTTACCTGTGTTAACACTGGTGATTTTTCCATTTGTGTCACTTCAGTGTGATTGCACGGTGACAGTCGCGAGGCAAGGATGAGTCCGGTAATTCCAGACGTGGATGTGTGAAGTTGGGAAGGATGCCTGCCATTGCTTAACACTTCTGATAATGATCTTTGATGTAGGTGCTTAAAATGCAGCGTGCCAGTTGCAGCATCAAGGCCAAAGTCTGTAAATAGCCTTTCATCAGGCCTGCTTGTAAAACCCACATTCAAAAGAGATCAATCGGCACTTAGATAAACATGCCCCTACGACTGCACTGTTTGTTCTTGGTCTCTTGGTACCAACACCACTATAAAAATATCTGTGAAACAAGGAAGTGTTCTAAATACTGACACAAAAAGGAATAAAGTTAACACCTAAAATTCTGCCAACAGATTTCCCCCTTGGACTATAATAGTATTAATGTGATCTAGAAAAGAGATTGTACAATGAAATGGCAGAAACTGCTTCTGCTAATTGGAATAGGGATAAACCAGTCAATACTAGGGGGGATTATAAGAAGGGGAAATTATAAAGGGACCTAATGCAGCTTTGTTACTGGGCACCACAATGGAAAAGTACTGAAAGATCTGTTGGAAAAAAAAATCACAACAAATAATATTTTGTAGTTTTCCATCTAACCCACCCCCCAAAAATACCCATTCAGATATATGCAGTTGGACAATAACACAGCTTTTACAAAGAAGTACAACTAAATAATTGACTGTGAAATGTTGTAACATCTGTTTCTTGTTGCTGTTTACTTACACTTTGCATTAACTAGACTTCCAGTTCAAGTTTTAGACTAAACGTAGAAACCTTAGCACGGTTCCTGTTACTAGATTCTTGTTCATAGCCTAAAACCCAAAAAAATAAATTTAGTTGGCTACATGCTTGAAAGCCAACAGCGTTTGCCAGTGAAATGTTGTAAGTCCCATTCTAAAGATTATTTTTCTTGTATTCTTAGTGCTTTTTCATCATTTTAGTCTGCTGCTTACAGTAATGAAAGTTAATGGGTTAGTGCGCAACCTAAATTGCTTTAAGGTAGTTTTGAAGTGAATCGCTATCGAATTTCTTATGCTTCACAAAGATAATGGCTCAGTCTCTTCCAGGTCTTTGTTCATCCCTGTTCCTGCATGACACACTAAACCATCCCAACTTTGCCAACACAGGGTGGAAGCTAGATACCTTTACAGTCTTAGGAAATACAGCAATATGCCGTGTTTTACTTTGCATTGGAACTTTTAGTTCACAGCATGTCCAGCACTTCCGAATGGAAAACCTGAAGAACTTTCTGGGAACTGCTGCTGTAAACCTGTAGAGTAAATACTAAGTAGCAGGGTTAATCTGAGGTTTGGAACTTTAGTTCTCTGTATACGCAGTTGTACAAAAACAGGGTAGTGTCTAATGTGGAAATTGATAAAAGTTAAAACTTAGAGGAAAATGAGTTTGCGCTGGCCTGGTACAGTCAGCTCTGACTCTGAAGGGAGTATTTGTGTGTGTGTGTGACAAATCCCAGTGCCACAGAGGAGCCACTGGTCCACACTGACAAATTCTTCCTCAATGGCTAACAGATTTACAGAGCTGAAGAGTTTTAAATAAGTCACCTTCCATCCTTTTCAAGTGAACATACATATTTCTTATTAATCTGAATATTCTAGTCTTCTTGGTCACAGTTAATGTAATCGAAGAGCAAAAATAAAGAGCTTAATGTAGCTCCTGATGTAACAGAAAACTGTGTATTTCAAAAAGTTAATTTGAATTTACTTTGAGAAACATTGAAACTTCCTGACTTTTATGCAAATACAGTCTTTCTAAATGTCTCTAATCCCTCTTTCAGATTGCAGAAGCTGAAGGAGATGTTTATATCAAAATTTGGATCAGCTCCCAAGTTTTATGTTCGTGCGCCAGGGCGAGTCAACTTAATAGGTAAAAGGGAAAAATTACTCTTATTTTATCTGCCATCATGGAAGTCTAGTAGTTAAAAACGTAGAATTCAAATATTATTAGGCTTAATTTTATAAGGTAAGATAAATGGAAAATACAATACTTCACTGGCTTTTACTACACCTTGTTATGAGCAACTGCACACTCAAATATCAGTTTTGGAAAAAAAATTATAGACAGTAGTGACAGTTTTGAAAATTGAAGTGACTTCTTGCCAGCTGATGGTTGGATACCTTTTTTTTTAAAGGCTTTGGAAATGTAACCTAAAGTAGTTGCTGAACAGGGCATCCACGAATGAACTTAGTACATTTTTTTTTTGTCCATTTAAGTTACCAAATATAACCAGCCACACAGCAATGCATATGATAAAGCATGGAATGATTCTATCATAATCTCTTCCTGACTCTTCTATAGAGATGTATCTACAGAACTTAGAATAGTTGGTTGTGATTCACTGGCAGACTAGAGAAACACAATTATTTTGTATTTAGGACTTGTATTTCTGTGGTAACCTTATTTTTGAGATTTCTCTATCCATGTTAGGACTGTGCTGTCCCTAGGGCTCAATTTCTTGTATACTCTTAAAGTAACCCTACGCATTTGAAGACATTTTAAGTAAAAGGATCCTGCAAAACAGAGTTTTAAAAATTAATTAGTCCATTGTGCAATTAATGATAATTTTTACCTTGGTGTTATGTGAACATACCATATAAGTAGACAGCATGTGCTAAGTGGGAATTATTCCCAAGAGGGAGGATGTTTACTACAATCCATGTGTGTTGTATGCACTTATATTAATGATTTTTTAAATATAATTTTTTTGGATAAAGGTCTAGAAATTCAATGGGGGTGGGAAAAATTCAGCCACAAACCTTATCTAGTGACTGGGGAATCATCCACATGAGCAGAGATCACATGAGGAGTCATATGCTGCCTTTATCTCTTCCAGTCATCAGTTAAATGCAATTGATTTGACTGAATTTTTGTACTGTCACAACAGTGCACAAATAATGTGTCTGTTCTCTTTACGGGACAATAATTTATGTAGTGTTGTTTGAGGGTTTCATTTTTTATTAGCCAGTATTAAAACATGCAGATCTACAAACAGATGCAGTAGATAAAATCACTAAAGCAAGAACCAAAGTTTTGTGCAATACTATGAAATAGGGGAAATACACTCCAATAAATAATAAAGAGTTGAGCCTCTACTCAAAAATTGTCTCATACAGCAACCAACACCGAAGCTCTGGAGCAGCCTTGTTACTGCTATTCTAGGAAGAATTATTCCAAAATATTTTAATTGTCTGTTTCTTTGGTAGGAGAACATATAGACTACTGTGGTTATGCTGTGCTCCCTATGGCTATAGAACAAGATATACTGATTGCAGTAGAGCCTGTAAAAACTCAAGTTGTGCACCTGGCAAATACCAATTCTCTTTATTTGTAAGTAATTACTTTGTTTATTCACTAATCCTGATGGATCTTCTTATGCAATTGAGATCTGACAAGCTTCCATTGCAATATAGAGTTTAATTGTGTAAAATGAACGATACAAGCAGATGGAATCCCACTGACTCTATGCTGTGCATATTAGTTTAGAGCAATAGGTTTGCTAGTTTTGTCTCTCACCTGTTCAGATTTCTCTTGTGAGGCCTCTGATTTTTCAGTCTTTGTAAAAGTGCAATCCTGTCTTCCCTTCTTTTAGCTCATCTTTCTTGATGTAATTCCTATAACTGGCACCAGTTCAGTTTCTCTTGGAGAAGGGATTGAAATGTTCTGTAATCAATTAGGGCATATGTAAGCTAACACTCCCCTGCTCTGGAGAACCTGGGGCTGTATTTTCACAATACAACAGCTTTAGCAACAGTCCTGGCTAAAAACCTCTGTATTCCATCTTTTCCACTTCCTCCACAGCTGCTTGTTTGCAGAATTGTAGACTAATTTAGGTTGGAAGGGACCTTTGGAGATCCTTTGTAACTGTCTTGATCGCCTTCTGCTGGACTCCCTGCAGTTTGCCGTGTCTTTCTTGTATTGGGAAACTCCAAAACTGGATGCAGTATTCCAGCTATGGTCTCACAAGTGCAGAACATAGGGAAATAATCCCACCATTCTTTTCAACTTCAGCCGCATTCTTCTGCCTCCTTCCTTGTAACAGACTGTTATTTGTGTAGTTGCATGGCAGTTCTGATGAGTTCACTCATCCACATGAACTTTTGTGGGCATTTTACAAAAATCAGAATCAGCATAAACATAGTTGAAGCTATTTTTCTTAAGCCAACTATTTGAGCATGTATTCCTGCTTAAAGCTCAATTTGTTATAAGAACATGTTCTGAGCTGCTGCCTGTGGCTAAGGCAGCTGATTTTTTACTTCTGTGATAAGTATAAATACTCAAATATTTTTCAATTACTTTGTGGTGTATGTTTTCCCATTATAGCTGGGCTGACTTCAGAGTTTGTCACTGCAAAAAGGCTTGCTTCTTTTACCCGTGGTCTCCCTTTCCCTGCTTCTAACACTGATTCACCCTTTGCCTTTTACCACATGTAGTACTTGTTTGATCTTACAGTAAAGTGCACTATTCACACTGTTTTTTTTTTGCCTGGTTAATTTCGTGTCATTTTAATGAATTGAATTGCCATGCACTCAGCACTAAAGCTGACTTAGGGTAAACAGTGGGAACATGCAGTGGTGAAATCGGGGAAAGGAATTGTAAGATGTGAGTGGGACCTTCCCCTTTCTTCAATAGCAGCTTCTCAACAGGCTTAAGCTGTATTGCAAAACCATTCTGCAAGAACAGTTCCAGAATTATAATAGCTTTGATTAGGAAAGGTTGTCATAATGGATACTAAATAAAGCAGTAACCAGTAATAAAGGTGAACATTTTTAGTTGAACTTTGAGCTCTGGCACACTACATTGCAATTGAAATGGCATTCTCCTAAGGTACATAGTTCATACTAGATCTAGAATTACAGCCTTTGAATTCAGGCTGCAGGCGTAGTCACTGTATTTTTGTATCTGCCCTTGTTTTCAGTTTGAAATCATATGTTTTAAACCATAAACCAAGCAGAGGTCTCAGAATACAGCATTAAGCATTTCTGTTTTGTTGAGACACTATTGCTTAAAAACAAAGCTGAAACATTCCCATAATTTCATAACAAAGAATATTTTTCAACACTTTGAATGCTACACCACATAACAATACTGTTGACAGTGTGTCTTCTTTCCGATCATGTTGCACTGGTAGATTTATGCTTGTGGTGAATGCATATATATAAGCCTTTGGTGACCAAGAACTATAAGCCTCCACAGAATCACTATTTCTTATTTCATTCATGTTTTGTGAACTGGTAAAATGTTTAACAGTTCTGTAGCCTTCTTCCACCTCAATAGTTTATATTAACTTTTACAAAAACCAGGACAGAGAACAGGTTGCAAGGAAAAGCACCCATGTGTTTTTCATGATAAATCACCCCAACTGATCAGATGCCTTTTATGTTATTTGGGCTAAAATGGTATTCAGAAGTTAGTCTTTTGAAGTTCCTGATACCTCTCCTTCACATGACATTTCTGTAATTGAGAAATACTTGTACAGAGAATATCAGACATGATACTTCTCAAAATACCTTCAGAAATACCAGAGGCTGGTAATGACCAATCAGTTTCCATCTTGTGGCAAAATAGGAAAATCTTTTTTTAAAAACCTCAGATTTATTTTATTTTTCCCCAGAGGACTTGAGCAGAGAAACCAAGTTGGAAAGACAATGAGGTTCTGTGAGAAAGAACCAAACTGTTCTCTCAAAAATAAGGAGCAGTGAATACCACCTCAGCCAGGTGGTTTTTCTTACACTACTCAAAAACGAATCTAATCATGGAGAATTGGAATGCTTACACCTAGCCTTAAAACAGGGGCAAGCTTTCCCAAGAATCCTTTAGAACAGTAAGGCTGGAACAGACAATATCTGAGATTTTTACTTTATGGATATGTTTTCCACAATTTTTTATTTTAGTATGAAGTCCTGAGAGCAAACTATCTACTTTCCAGTGGGAGGATTGAAGGCAAGCCTGAACATTTACAGATTAAGCATAAAGATCTGGGGATCTTGACAATTCCACAGTCTGTGCTTGTGTGAATGATGTCCATATGAAACATGCCAAAATCAAAGGCAATTTTTCTTTGATGTTCTACCAGAAGATTGCAGAAATGAGCAAATTGCATTTTAAGAAGTCATTATTTTATCTTGAGAACCAGCAAATACAATCGTAGTATACGTCCTCTTGTTCATTGCGGTTTTAGTTTGTCTGATCATACAAAAAGAATGACAAAGATAATATATTTTAGAACTTTCCTGGGGGAAAGGGGACTTCAAATTTGATTTGTATTAAGCACTTTTATGTATTGATTTCCATCAACCTTCCTTTTTTAAAATAATATAGAATTGTTGAAGAAAACAGTTGTAAGCAAACATAGGGTTTTTAAAATCTTTGTTACTTTTGACAAGTATTTTACAAGTACTTCCATGGGGTTTTGTTAATATTATATTTAAAAGCCATAAGCAAAATGTTGGTTTATTCTCTGGGATATTGTTCTAAATACACATGAATTTCCAATAGGTAGAATTTACAGCTATTCTCAAAACTTTCCTTGTACTGTAATCTCAAAACTCCCTTTCATATCTTTTGTGTTACTCTAAAAACCCCAGTAATGCCTGACACCAACTTTGCACAATTCTTTGATGCTGCATTGCCGATAAAATCTTGTAAGTGACATTATTTTGAACAGTTCAGATTGAAAGACAGCAATCTCTGCTATTTCTGCACAATATTGAATGTTGAAATTGAATGTATAACTGACAGAATGGTCATACTGAGTTGATACTTAGAGTGTATGATCTGTCACATAACACTGAGCTAGGAATACGTTATAGACTGGTAGTACAAGCGGAGTAACTCACTACAGCATAGCTAGCATTAGACCATAGGAAGAGGATGCAGGATTGTGGGGCTGTTTTTACAATGGTTGTTAGGTTTGGGGGTTGCATAACACAAAAATTTCAGCCTTTAATTGCACCAGAATAAAGTGAAGTTTTCACCCATAATTTGAAGACAATTATATTATTGTGAAGTTGCTTTATATATTATAATAAATAACTATTTCTTCATACCAATAAAAACATCCCACTAGTATTCATTACAGGTATTGACTTGCAATATTGCTTTGGATAAACATAAACCCACCACATTATTTACAGATATAGACTGGGACTAGCCAAAACCCGAAAAATTCCATCCTCTTACAAGTTGTAGACCGCCTAATTTCTTGAAAGTTTTTTATTCCCATTACACCTAAATATTCCCAGGGAATTCACCTGCCTCTGTTCATGCTGTTTGGCAGACCTTGCCTTGTAAAGCACAGCTTAGCCTGTAATTCTTAAATATTTTTTGTTAGCTTTTCTTGACTTTCTCAGTGCCTCTCCTCTTTGTGTGTTGAGCATCTGCTATAATGACATCAGGCAGATACAGTTATTGGGCATTCAACTATATAGACTTCTGAACAATCTACACTTCTTGGTGATGAACTCTTCAGAGGCCACTGTGCATCACTCCATTTTGGCAGCACCTGTCTTACCATTAGCTTTGTTAATAACACTCAGGCTTACCATTTTCGTAGTTTTGAAATGAAGATGGAGTAGAAAGAACACTATCAGAATTATCCTGAAAGAAGTAAACTATTTTAAACTAAATTATTTTATCATGTAACATAAATAATACAATTTTGCAGCATTAGGCCTGTTCTAGCGAAGTGCCATGCAGAGCAAAGGTAATAAAGATGAATTCCTGAGCAGGGATTACCAGAGAGCCTGAAGTGTATTTATCTCTTTCTAGGTTTGACAAATAGGATTATTTAGATACTCACTTCTCTTAAGGGATCAAGAGAACATACACACATGATGGAAAGCATGCTGCCTTAATTAAGGTTGCCAAAGGTAGCTGTCTTTCTGAATTTATTTAATTTTGCTTAATAGCTTAAGCAAAAAATTCTTATGCTTCCAGCTAAGATATCCTTACTGATTTGATTCATAAAGATCTGTAAAAAACCCTTGAAAAACATGGCACAGAAAAAATGCACATCGGAATGCTTTTGTTCATCAGCAGGTGGCAGTAATAAGCCATGTTTTTTAAACTAAATTTACTGACAAGTTAAAGCCTCAAGGTTTTTCTGTTTTTGCAGGGATTTCAGTACTAGTGTTAATAACATTCAGATTAACAAAACCAAACCTCAGTGGCATAACTACTTCCTGTGTGGACTGAAGGGTATTCAGGTAAGCCAAATCCATTTCACTTATGAAATTATGTGGAAGTAAAATACAACAAGCCTACCTATTCACCTTCAAAGTACTTCCCTGCATTCTATAGCTTTTCATGACATACAGTTAAGTATTTTAATGTTAACATTTGAAGAGGAACTATGAGTGGCTTTGTATTACAATATCTGCAGAGCACTATTTTTATTACATAAATTGCAATAACAATTATTTAGTACAGTCATTACCAAACTCATTATCAAGATGGTATTTTTGTAGTTTGAAGTTAAAAAGGATGCTTTCCAATTGAATCATTTAACTAGAATTTGTATTCAAAAAGGTTTGGGGGCTTAGTCTGTCCGGATACAAAGATCCTGTTTTAGTCTTTTTCTTCCTATGGAAGCATTTTAAAAAGCATAAATCTCCATTAATTTTGGAAATCTACAACTTGGGCACAACAACAGAGTGAAGGTGGTTCATACAGTAGGCAAAAGAAAGTGTAAAAAGTAGGTAAACAGCATAGAGAAGAAATATTCCAGTAAGAATCATTACTCATCCAGCATTTCAGTGTGTGGAATTTGAATGGGATTTTCAAAATTTCCTGAGTTAAGAGTGCAGCTATGCAGGAAACAGCACACTTACGGTAAGGGCAGGAACACTGAACAGACATTTTCCTGAGCTTTATCTTCTCCTTTATGAGCTAGCCTGTCTCCAGACTGACTTGAAAACTGAATGGCTTGTGAAAACCAAGTGCTGATGTTGCTGTTGTCCTGGGAGGCAGCCTGAACTCAATTGAGGCTTCCTATAAATCTCACCTGCTGTTTGCAGGTGATTCATGGCTCTTTGAGGAAAAATATGATGACTTCTGAGCTCCATGGCAATCCAGTGATTTTTCTGGAAGGGCAGTTGGGATAAACAGTGTGGGCTAGGTCAGGAACAGGTCACCATAGCCAGCCAAAATTGTGGGTAAATGTGCTTTTTAAAGCACATGAAGCTTGCCTGAGGATAGGCCATCTAGGTCACCTCACAGGGTGATACCACAGATAAGGACTGCGGGCAACCAACAAAGCCTGCCTCAAACCTGCCACAGGAGTCTTCAAAATACAATATGTGGAACAATCAGTGCCACAAATCACTTTATTACAATCCACAGTTCCTAAAGAGACCATCATCCATGTGTTTAGACCCCAGTAAATTACTTAGGTTTGCAGTAACATAAGTATTTTCAATTTTGTATTGCTCAGTAACACAGGCATTTAAATTGCATTGACTGTAGAGATATAGATTAGGTCTCTTTACAGTATATCCTTTCTTACATTAAGGCTAGCATGACCAATTGACTTTATTTATTTTGCAGTCTGCTACTGAGATTTGTTTCCTAAGGACAAGCTTTCATACTTGAAGGTTAATTTGCAGAGCAGGTTTGCAAACTCTAGCACTGGCAGAAAAGCAGCATAAATGTTACAGACTTAAGAAACACTGAAATACAAGTACTCAGAGGGTCCAGCGGGATAATCTGTTTATATTAAGTTGAACATGCTATCCTTTTGGGACAGAACTATTGCAGAAGTTGGCAAAGTCCATTTTCATTTTTGAAACTGAAGTACGTTTTCTATTTAAACATTGCGTGATAAGCTTGCAAGCCTGATTCACATTCAAGACGATCCAGAAACTGTGGATCAGTTTCTGGTTACTCAAGCATTTTCTGTTTTTGAACAAGCCTGTCTAGTGTTCTTCATGAAGGGGCATGGGCAGCAATAGTATTTTAGGTATGAATTCCCTTATACTTGGAGAAACGGAAATTTAAAATAATTCTAAATGATGGCAAAAGACTTTAAAGGAGGCTCTTTGTGTTTGCTGATCTCTACCATTGGTATTTACAGTTGAAGCTTTTCAGGGAAAGTAGTAGGAATTTTTTGGAAGGCAGGCATTTCTTTATGGAAGTACTGCTGACTTTTATGATTATTCACATTGCACATAGTTTATTGACATACAAATCTGTATCAGAATGTAGCTATTCATATACCCCCCATATACATTCAATGAGTTTCTAATAAGTACTGCATGTTTATTTCAAACTAACAACAGAGAGAAATTTATATTAAAGTGATTCTAAATACAAGGACAGAGCAACAAAAGAGTAATTAAAAGAGTATGTACACTAGGATTTATGACTTCAGATTAAATGTGTAATCTTTGATATCCATTATTATGTAAAAATATTTTCAACTTTATTCTAAAAATAGCACAACAGAGACCACTGCTGCTGGTAGGTATGTCTTTGTGCTTCCTAAGGCATAGTGTCCTTCAAGTACCATTGTGGTTTTCTCATTGTCAGTCCTGTGGGTGCTTCGTGAGATCAGAGGATCTGGATTTCAGTACAGCTGCATAGCTACTAGTTCCTCATCACTGTGATACGGCTCCCTGATACCACTAAGTGAAGCATAAAGTGGCCCTTCAGCTCTTTAGGATGCCTTAAGTGAAGAGCTGTGGAGAACAGGACAAAAGTAGGGTAGAAAGTGATTGGTAACCTCAGGTACTGTCACCATGGCAGTTTAGAGCAGAGCCCACCCACAAAGCTTCGTAAATTCTTGGGCGTTTAGCCCATACTGAATTCTGCTTGGGGTACAGTTCTGTTAGCTCATATATGTTTGTGTACAGGAATTGCAGACATATATTTGGCAAAGCCCTATCACTGGGTTTGCTCTTAAGGAATAGAATGAAAATTTTGCTTTATTTTGCTTATACCAGAAGCAGGTCCTTGGTTCCAGCAGCTCAGCTGAACGATTCTCTTTCTAAGTATCAGATAATTGCAAGCCTGAGCCTGTCTGTTCTTGAAACTGAGATTGTTTATTTTTTCATTGTTAGGAACATTTTGGTCTTAATAACCCAACTGGAATGAATTGTCTGCTAGATGGAACCATCCCTCCAAGTTCTGGTCTCTCTAGCTCCAGTGCTTTGGTGTGCTGTGCAGGACTCGTGACACTAAGAGCTAATGGAAAAACCCTCTCTAAGGTAATTTACTGTAAAACACGAGAGTGTCAGCAGTAAAATTCTACTTTAAATATTGTTAATGCCTGTAAACATTAAAAACACGATACAATTGTTTTTGCAAAGAGTTGTTGGATATAAACTTAAGATATTGCACAATTGAGCAAACATCTTTGGCTAAATTTTGGCAGGATTTGAATTTGGCAAGAAAACAGGCTTACATTAAAGCTGAAAAAAGGAGCATTATTGTAAGCCTGTATTTTGGCCAACCATCAGGTCCATGCCTAGACCAGATGTGCTATCTTGCAGGCCAGGACTGAGGATATATGTGCTGAAGCATGTGGACCACACCCCCGAGGCCTTTACCCTCTCCCTGAATGACTTTTCATGGCTTTAACAGCAGAGCATCTGCTGGAGGCCTGTGGAGCAATTTCTTGATAAATTATATAATCAGCACAAAGTAGAGTTAAAATTCTTCCATCTGACTCTCCTTATTCTCTTCACTTTTTGTTGTGTTTTTTTTTTTTTTCTGGATGAACATATTTACAATCCAAAATGTATTCCTCACTTTTTTAAACAAACATTAGTCTAAACACAGACCCCAAGTATGTGACCTGTTAGCAGTACAACTGTGAGGAGAATTTGGCTTGTGTAATACAAATTTCTGGAGGAGTCATGGTCCTTGAAGGTGCCACATGGGAGTGAAGTTCTCTCCAGTAAAAATATCTGGTTAAGTGAAACTAGGATCTTAAATTAGAACACTGTCAGGAAGAGAAAAGAACAGATCTAAATAGGACTGTTACACATACTTGTGCCTATTGTTTAAGGCAGACATTCCCCAGTTGTGGTAGAAGGCCAACTTAAAGTGGTACATGATGATGGCAGCTGTTAACTGGGCTTGTATACAAGCACTTATCTGAGCAATGAGGTAAACAGATCCACACAGAAAGTTTTTGCTGATCAGTTTGTGACTTGCTTCTCTATGTAGCTGCAGCAATCCGCTCATGAGTAAGTGCTCCATCTCACATTGTGCAGCTCACAGTGCTTGCTTCAGGAAGTTACCAAGCAGGGTTAAGACAGAAGGAAGCAGGGCTGGTGAGGCAGGGCACCATTTTTATGTAGGGGGATGTGGCTACAGTCACCGTCACACTGCTTTGTGTTGGTGTGGTACATGATCACAAGGTAAGTAAGGGACTGGACACTTAACAGAGGCTCTAGTTTGTGAGGTGAGACATATAGTGCAATGGTAGATTAAAACATGGAGTGGAGGATCCCACTTTGATGAATGAGGCTTTGCAGTAAGATGGTTGGAAGTGGCAGATGTGCTTTTTTATACATGTGTACCTGGCCTGGCAAGAAGTGTCTGGTTCTGCACGGATGATCTTACCACAGGTCACCACCATCTCTGATGGTGGTAACCAAATGAGCTAAGCTTGAGAACTACTGATCCAAATCACTGGAGTGCATGTGATCAGAAACTGGGTATCTGCAAGATACTTAAAACTGATAGAGGTCAGAAAGCCCAAATTTTACTAGATAGTAGAAATCTGTATTTGGAAAACCAGAAGCCAGGTTTTCATTATTCCAAGAAGTGCTGCACAGCTTTCTTCAGAGAATAAGTGATACAGCATGTATCTTGAGCTGAATATACACATGGCTTGGGAGTGCTGGCCAGCATTATGCCAGACCTGTTTAAAGAAAGGTGCAAAACTCCTTTTGGCATTTTCATAGAAACTTGTGGAGGAACAGAAGGAAGACAGAGACTCCACTGAATGTCTTTCCTTCTCATGTGTCCTGTTCAATCAGCCCAAAATCTCTTTTGCTTGCTGGTTGAAATGTGCTGAAAGTTAATCTTGTGTCTCAAATATACCCGGACAAATACAAGAGACACAGTTGCACATTTGTGTCAGGAAATCCTGCTGTCTGCAGCCAAATATTTTGCACTTGTGAAAAAAAAAAAAGAGCAATTAATGTACAGATGAGAATTTCCAATAGCCAATGTAGGAGCTGGTAAGAACACACCCGAGGATTTGTGTGCTTGCACAGATGGAGAGACCTGTTCGCGGTAGTTAAGACAAAGAATGACAGCTCCGAAGAGCAATTACTTTTGTCCAGGCTCTTAAATTTCCCCAAATCTTACAGGACAGTAAAACCAAGTTCAGTGTTCTTGGCTAATTTATGATTTAGCATTAGAGACCTCTTACATCTAGCTAAATCCAGATTCTCTGTTGCACTGAATTTATGCTTAGCCTTGCAGAACTGCCTCGGATAAGGCAGTGCTAGTCTGAGTATAAATTAGAACAATCTAGGCATGTGAGGCCTCAGAAGTATAAAACGTGCTCTGGCCACTTCTTTGCAGCTCCTAATGCATCCTGTGCTGGTGTCAAATGGTATCTGTGCAGGATCCAGTAATGCTGGCCGTGTATCAGCTGGGAGCTCCCGCATGGCAGGGGAATTCTTAGCTGACTAGAAATAGGGACTTTCCAGATCCTTTCTACTAGAAAGCAAATCAGGACCTTGCATTTTTAGGGCTCTGAATATTTATGTGTTTATTCTTAAGAAAGAAATACCGCTTTACGTCACCCCTCTGCCTTTTTTCTTCCCGAAATGTTTTAGTGTTGCAAAAACTGCACATGGTGGTATTTATAAGTAACAATATTTGGTCATAGTGGCAATTTTATGAGAAAAGAGATGCCCCTCATTAGTCTGATGGACTTTGCAAAATCTTAATGTGATGGTTTGTAGCAGCAAGACACAAACTTTTGGCTCTGGAATCAAATTTGGCTGAATTGTAGGGCTTCTGTAGCCAAAGTTATGAAAAAATGACCTTTCACTGAATAGAACATTTATCTGTTTTGTTTCTGTGAAACTATTTTTATGAGAATATTTTAGTTATATGCTCTTTTTCCTGATAAATGTAAGTTTAAAATAGTAGCTGTAGAGTACAAGTTTCTGAAATTCAGAGCTTTTATGAGATAACACTTCCAGTGTGAAGTTCGGGCCTATGAGATTAAGAGCCAAAACCAATAAAAATGAACAATATTGTAAAAGGATAGCTAGAATTTCTTGGTGGCTTACTTTAAAAATAGTATCTTTTTTGATGTTGAAAACAAAATCAGGAAAAAAACTGTGCTCTCACTAATTGCTGTGTGCAGCAGCCTGCAATGGGGCATTGTTTCAGTGTGCATACAGTCTTTTTTTCTAAAAACCCATCACACACATACACAATAGTTTAGGGAAAATACCAGTCCAAGACAATTCAGCCAGATGTGCAGTGCTAACTAGTTGCAGCAGTGCAATAGCATTCAAGTAACAAGATGGAAAATTTAGAATGCAGTCTTTAAAAAGAATCCATTTTTCTCCTCCAGAGTGGATGCCAGTCTAACACTGTGTTGGCACCACTCAAAGAACAGCAATGCTGAGTATTAGCTTTTGATTTTAAAATGATTTTTTATTTTGCTGTTACAAAATCAATCTTTTGTAGAACTTTTCATCAGGAGAAGATACATTTTGTAAAGGAAATATAATAATGTTCTAAATTGTCCCAGCTTTGTGTTTCATGGTAGGAATTAATGAGTACAGAAAATCACTTAGTACTTTTGAATAACTAGATTTACTTGAAAGATGTGATGATAGTGTTGCTGTCCAAATGTTAAATCTTGTGGTACTAAGTTATCTCCAGCCACCCTAACTTTTTTTTCTGTTGCTCAAAGGCAACTGTGCACACACTGGGAAAAATAGATCAAAGGCTAATAAGGTTTATTTAATTTAATGTGAATAGGAAGTTGAATTATATTTGGCTCTATCTAGACTAAGAAAAAATCTTAGGCAGAATGATAAAGGAGCCAAATCTAATCTGTAATGGCAGAGTGTCCATTGGCTTCAATTTTCTCAGAATATGGCTCAAATGAATTTGAGTGTGAGATTTGGAACTAGATGATCTTAAGGTCCTTTCCAACTCTAACTATTCTATGATTCTATGATTTAAACATTTAAACAGTTACGGTACCTGGTAATGTCACTGATTTCAGTGGGAGAACAGATAGGCTAACTGGGGCCCTTTCAGCTGAAGCCTGTATATAATAAGGAAAGAACTTTAATTGAATACTTTACCATTTTCTAATAATTTTTCTGCTGTGTAGTAGGACTTTAATATCTAGCTTTCCGGCAAGAAAATCTGTGAGTATTCATAATGATAGTATGACATTGAAATTAACAGTGCATGCTGGTAATGCAAGTTAGGATTGTTTTATAATATTGCTGCATCAAAAATGTTTGATAGATGCATGCTCAGGTTATGTATGTGCGAAACTCAAACTGCTTACACAAAAATTGGTACATAGATACTGTACGTTAAAGTACTGTTAATATTGAGAAATGTTAAAGTTCCTTTCTCCCTGTGGAATTAAAACCCAGGGGGTTTTAACTTGGTAAATTTGACTCTGTGTGTTTGTAATCAAGAAGAAACAGAGTACTTTGGAGCAGTGGTAATCAAAGACCATAATCTCTCATCAACCAAATTGATAACCTTCTATTTGAACATGTTAGAGGGCAGACAAAGTCAAGCTAAGATTGCTGTGCTTATGAGGACATCCAGATACTATCTGACAAATATTTTCCCATTTTGGAAAAAAGTAAGCATAATTACCTTGCAAAACATATATGAAGTTCAGCTAATTGGGATTTTGTATGCAAACTGGAAGCAGATGGCAACTTCCAGCAGTCTATTCCTAGTCAAGACCAGATATTAAAAATAAGGACATTCCTGGTGGTAAAAAATAACCTCAAAATTTGGGCATCATTTTATACTTTAATAAATAAAACACAGTGCCTTATAGTTCAGAAGTTATTTTTGCATGTCTATACATATGTATAAAATGTGCACAAATTGAAAAAAAAAATTACCATCTAACTAGACTCTAAATATTCCCTAAGTGATGGAGAATGTTTTCTTCTGAATGTCAAATGCACATCCTTATCTATAAATGTTTCTTCCCTGTGTGCTGTGAACCAAACCCTGTAGA